CATTTCTGGTAATTCATAACTGTTTGCAATCAAGTATAAAACATTTACAAGTTTTGCGACATCAGTTAAAAGGAAATAAACGCCCATGTGCGCCTTTATAAAGGGGAACATTCGCCCAAAGGCATACCATATAGAAACTCAGTTGCTATTAACCAACAAAACACAATCAAACTGTTAATAATTTGAATATTTATTTACTTGATTCTCTCTCGATCCGTCGTTTAATTCTCAACTGCATATCAGAATTTATCATCACAGTATGCCCTTCCTTCTTAAGCGTTCTTAACGTTCAATGGCAACGCCAAAATGATGAGACGTGTATAATAAACCTGTTTTCTCATCTAACGTTCGTTTCCGTACAAAGAGATTACCATCATGTTGTTGCATCATATGGAATACAATATCAGCAACGTTGTCGTTTCCTGTGTTACAGAAATAGCATTTGAACAGGGACGCTTCTTTTTGTAGGCCCCGTTCTGTAATAAAAACAAAACATTTTTAATTAAATATTGTTGCCTCGTTTCATTCTTAAGAATGCTATATAGCTGCCTCGTTTCCTTGAGAAACATGCCTCGTTTCCTAAGTGAGAGAATTGATATGTAAATATCTCAGCAATGCCAGTATTGATTTCTAATTTGTAATCATATTATAAAACCGGAACTTATGAAGTATTTACTTTCCAAATATTAAGTTTTAATTTGAAGGATAAAAGCACGAAAATTGTAAAAAACAAAAATCTTACCGAATGAAATTTTTTCACGCGCCGCCATTTTGATACGAGGCAAAACCTCCCTCGTTTCCAGTTCATCCCCAGTGCATAGGCAGTCTCGATTAACACTCGAGAATGCCTTAGTTGCGTCAATGTAGCAAATAAAAGTATCAAGCTTAGAAAGTTTCCTATTATTGATGATTGAGTATACACTGTGAACTTGTTCTTGACAACCACGTCCCTTGCGAAAGCCCCCTTGTTCATCATGAATAAGGTTATTGTCCTCAAGGAATTGAGTTAGGCGCTTGTTCAAAATATCAGTGTAGACCTTGCAAGGCACAGATATTAATGTAATGGCACGATAGTTCAGAGGATTACATGGGTCTCCATCTTTATATATTGGGTGTATAATACCCTCCATCCACTGACTTGGCACAGTGCCAGAGTTAAAACAGAGTACCATAATTCTGTGTAACATGGTTATACAAAGTGGATTTTTCAAAGCCTCGGCTGGTATAGAGTCAATTCCTACAGCTTTACGAACTTTGGCCCTACCGACTGCCTCTACAACCTCTTTAAATGAAATATCTTTATTTATGTCTAAATTATTGTCAGTAACATTACCTTCTATATTGGCTACTTGTTGTTTTATATATTCTAAGTGTTCAGAGTCAAACATAGGATTATTCTGAGCGGATGAATATAATTTTTCATATGTGTCAGCCCAGTGGTTCAGAACTAGCTGTTTATCATACACCAATTCACCAGATTGATTTTTCATTGTCCACGGAACATCTTTGGTACGCTCGTTTGCTATTCCTATTTTCCCTATGTATTTCCAAAAGTCCTGTGAACTGGATGATTTGTACAGATCAAATAGATGGTCTTGTTCTTGCTTCTGATATCTGCGCTTAGCTTTCCTTAGACTTCTATCAAAACAACGCCTTTCAATACAATAAGTTGCTTTGAGACATTGTCTTTTCGCTGTATCTTTGCATCGTATCCATGTTTGTTCAGCTTTTTGAACCTTATCCCATAATGATTGAAGCTCAGCACTCCAATAAGGTTTTCTACATGATTTAGAACGTTTGTGGGTTGGATTGGTTTGCTGGGGTATAGGTTCACATAAACGGTCCATTTCTGTTGACACTGTTTTAACAAATGTGTCATAAAGAGTTTTTATTTGATTGACAGATACTTCCTCATTTGTTATCCTATCTATTGTTTCCATTATTTGCCGAGAAAGTTCTTCATTTGAAAGGAAATCACCTGTGATTCCATTTGTTTTATATCTTTTAGGTGGCTGTACTAAAGGTGTTTCTGCATCAATCATTCCATCCCAATTGTATACAGATTCAGTGGAATCCTGCAGATATTTCAGAGTGCATGTCAAGATAGAGTGATCGGGAAGTGCTGTAGGGGCAGTGAGATTATAATTGTCAATAATGGTTGTCATCCGATGAACTTTAAAATTTTCATAATTTTCAAGAGATTCCTGTGGACAACACATATAGTCCACCACTGAGCGTCCTTTTTGAGAAATACATGTAAAATCATTGTTTTCCTTGTTATAGCGACCATTTAGAATGCATATGTTGCTATCAGTTAAAAATGTTAGGAAGCTTGATTTGTGACCATTTTCTTGTGTGTCGAGTATATCTCTTTCACGTACATGGTCGATTCCTTCAATGTAGTCAGTATTCATTCCGATCCTAGCATTAAAATCGCCCATTATACAAAGATCATTAGCTGTATTTTGGTAAACATAAAAACTTTCGGTGATTTTTTCAAAGAATTGTTCAGAATCAGTGTCACGTGTAGACTTCGAGACTGGGGGAAGATACCCTGAGCAAAGCACTATATTATAATCCGAGTGTTTCGAATTTAGGCGAATCCAGATTATGTCCTGAGTATTCTGATCAAGGATTTCACAGGTAAATAGCAGTAAAATAGAGTTTTTAACTAAAAATCCAACACCTCCTGATCCTCGTCTGGCTTGTGCAACAGTATTTCGATTATTTCCAAACCATGTGTAATCAGATATATCCAGGTTCTCATTTTTCCGAAGAAAAGTTTCATTGACACTTAAAATATCAATATCCATGTTGGCAATTACTGCTTTTCTAAATTGTGAATTGTCATTTTCATACCGTGAAAAGCCATTAACATTCCATGTGCCTAGGTTAAGTCGACACCGGCCGTCCCCCTATTTGTTGACATTAGGAATGGTGGACTGCAGTTTCTTTTGGAAAACTCCATTTCGCAATACAAATTGGTTTTCTTTTCCAGCAGCAGATAATACTGTTCTCATATTATAGTTCATTTTACGTAATTCCTGGGTTTGGAAGTCCTCGAGGTAGACTTTTGCATATTTAGCACTGTTTTTAAGGGATTTTTTATTTTTCATGATTCTATGTTTATCTTGTTTACACACTTTTGCAATAATAAGGCCAGGGTATTTCGAGCCTTCACGCTTTGTTTGACGGGTAGCTGAAACAACACTTGCATCAAGCTTGAGACCATCCTTCAAAAGTTCATTTATTTTGGTTTCACAATTTTCATTAAGTGATTCTTCAATGTTTACTCAAGAGTTCACAGGCTCGAGGTCGTTGTGTCGGGTTCTTCTATTTGTGTTTAATAAGGAAAACTGACATCTAAATTTCGCAATAACGTAATATTACTCAGCTTGGCATATGAAATATCCCCCAGATGAAACAAAGCAGTTCTAATACAAGAATTCATATTGGCTGTTGCACAATTCGTGCATTCTTTGAACATAATGTTTTCAGAATCATAAACGGATTACGTTATCACCAAGACAATTTCAATAAACTGGATTGAACAAAGCTCCCCCTATTTCTTCAAAATGGACTGATCCAGTTGACTCGCCTGGAGCCGCCATATTGTTTTTATACAGGAAGCTTATCGGAACCCTTTAAATGTTAATTGTCATTGTTATCTTAAGGTTTACTATCTCATATTTGAGAGAGTATAAATACATTCTTGTACCTGGTGAAACACCCGATCAGAATATGGAAGCACATGCAAGAAAAAATAGAACAAAAGAGTTAAAAAACACAGGCTCTTTTCCACAAATACTATATAAAGTTTATCTAAACTATAGTAGGATAGACATCGTTTCATCTGCACTCACGTCAGAATAAACTTTCCAGATATGGGAAAATACACATTTTATTTCATTCATGATAGCCTATTATTTAGACAGGCAACAGACAGAGAGAAAGTGGCAGTATTGTCACTTGCCCTATAGGGTGACTCCACATATGAAATCCACATTGGACTTTTATATTCTGGGAAATCATGTTTTCCCTATTTTATGTGAGATCTATGTTTAAACAAAAAAGTGATTTCTCAAAATGTCCGTGATGCAGTACACCACCGATTTACGCATTAACCATTCTATCTTTACAAGAAAAAATCCACTCGAACTGAAAAATTTATTCCAAGAGTGTTATGCCTTGGTCACATTTGCTCCGATTTTCACTACGGCGCCCGGTCGATTGAGTATTTTATTAAAAATTGAATACAATATTGATCAAAACACTCGATCGGCCGGGCGCCGGCCGATGGATCGGAGCAAATGTGACCCAGGCATTACACTTTTTGGCTCACCCTGTGTCTGTGTATCAGCGAAAATATTCAGAATTTCTAAACTTTGACATTTCGGGCAGAAGCGTGTCGAGATGACATGTTATTACACTTAATTTTACATTTCGTGGGCTATACTCCAATTTTAAGAGTTTGCAATTTGACTACCCTGCGTGCAGAGTCTAGTTAAACGAAAGACGAAGCTCTCTTTTAAGAAGTGAAGTCAAACGAATGCAAAGGGTACACTTTGATTTATCATGCAGTTTTTTTAATCGAATTATTGTTGTATGTGTGTATAATCTAGCTAAAGAAGGTCGTAATAATGCACACCATCATCGAAGGTAATTTTGTTTTTAAAGAAATGCATTTTTGTGGGAGGCATATACTGGTGAGACACAGGACCGGGACTGGATCTCATGTGGAGGTGATTCCCTAGTTTTTCTCGCATCTGCCACGATCTACTACTGACACCAGTCTTGGAATTTAAAACAAAACCTTTATCCATTTGAGTACACAAACGAAGCTAGTACGTATGAATTTGTTTGATTTACAAGAAAAAATGATTCAGAAGGACACAACGAAGTACTACAGGTTAACTTAGAAAAGATAAATTAAATAAAATACAAGAAACGAGTGCCCCTTAAATCAAATTATATATGGCTTAAACACACTACACGATATGCCTCACTACTATAGCACTTACTTAAAATGCTTTGTTTATACGTATACCCTTATTCGAACGCATAGGTATCGTAAGATGGGGCATTTCAATTTTAGGATTACACAATCATATTTTACAGTTAATATTTCAGGTAGTCCCATATTTTAAGGTAAGTAATATAGTCAACATTTGGTTTTAATCATGGTATAGGTAGCATAATTAGTTTTTTTGCTTTAGATAAATTATTTAGATTTATTAATGTACATGTAGTTGCACATATTTGCCCATATTGGGTATGCACATACAGTATACAGTGTATAAAAGTGCATTTGAAAAGAACGAATTAGAAACATTTTTATCGGCAGACAAAAAATAGTAAAACGCATGATACAATAATAACATTAATATATAATATAAAAATGGGGTCATAGTTAAACAAATAATAACGAATATATCTTATTTATTTTTGTTTACATATCTCCGATTAGGTTTCGTACCTGCATTTTGGTAAAGATAAAAGGTTGAACATTGAGCTATCTTAAAGAACAGACTAAAGAGCGTATTACATGTATGGATGAGCCCAGTAAAATAGCAAAAAAGTTTGTTAGTAAAAAGTAAACCTTGAATATTTATTAAATGGAACATGTTTTATAAGCACATAAATCTATTATACTTGTCTTTTTGTATAATACAGGACGAATGCATATTGTAAATTGCATTCTTGGCATTATTGGGACATCTGCATGAACAACCAATTCATTTTTTCCATTTCAATTCAAATAAACAGTGAATAGCAGGGGAGACACAAATAGGTGAATATATACAAAATTCCCGAGTTGGAGTATAACATACAATAGTTACAATGATAACTGTACCCGTCTATATAACCCTGGTGAATGCCCTCTGAAAGCAATTTCAAAAATGGAATGTCAGAAAATATAAAAACTTCAGTATCTCATATTTCGAGAGTTGTTGGTATTTGAGAGATGCTTAAATTAAAGTTAATACAATCAGAAACGAACACCCAAAGAAAAGTATTGTTAATGGACTTTTGCCTATTTTGAAAACGGTTATGTTAAAAATTATACAAACATTACACAAATCGGATTTTATAACTTTAGGATAAGATAGCAGAATATTGAGACATAGTACCCTTTTCATATTATGGAACAAATTGAGGCTGCCACATAGCATGCGTGAATGGTAAGATCGACTCCTCGCTAACACGAGGGTAGTTATTATAATGTTAGCCTATGGGCGTCAGGGTAGATTGCACCTTCATATTAATGAACTTTGAAATAGTTCTATTTTGCGTGACGGCTTAAATCGTGTCACTATCACGTATAAAATGTAACTGTATAAATTGAGGTAATGATCTAAGTGACACAAATGCCAGGTATCAAGTGGGTTGATTAAGATTTCAATGTTTCGTCTCCCCTGTCTCAAATTACAAACATCCCTAATGTTTCATCCTCCAAGTGCAGGCTCAAGACACGAAGGATGGAACAGAATAGACTGGATGATGTTCCGGCAGGTCAGAGGGTTTAGAAGATGATGTTCATTGGATGGAACTGTTTGATCATCCCCCGTTCGCAGAGCTCCAAACATCATCCGGTCTATTCCTTTCTACACGTATATGTAGTTCACCATAGTGACACTAAACTGACCTACTGCCCCAAATGTTCGTGGTTCACTGTTTTCTCCGGATGGAAAACACCTTGATCCATCAAGGTGGATGGTTTCACAGATTATGGATATGATGACACGGACTAAATGATGGACCAATTTGCTTGATTACGCTTATCTGTAATAGATGCTAAAATGTAAAAGTTAATCAACACGGATCACTGAATTTTTTATTGTCCTCAGAATCAAAACCATCACAAAGTTAGCTAATACTTTATTTGAAACATCATATTTGAGTAATCCCCTTTTAGCCATGCCCTCCCTACTTTAATAGTCACAAACCTTGATGAATAAATGACATATGCATTTCCGTTATCATCCGAGGAGTTAAAGGGTAGAGAGGTCCATGGAAAATGTAAAAGCTAATCAACACAGATCACTGATTTTTTTATTGTCCTGGAAATCAAAACCATCACAAACTTAGCTAACACTATATTCAACATCATATTTGAGTAATCCCCTTTTAGCCATGCCCTCCCTACTTTAATAGTCACAAACCTTGATGAGTAAATGACATATTCATTTCCTTTATCCTCCGAGGAGTTAAAGGGTAGAGAGGTCCATGGAAAATGTACAAAAGTTAATCAACACAGATCACTGAATTTCTTATTGTCCTGGGAATCAAAACCATCACAAACTTAGCTAATACTATATTCAACATCATATTCACACATCTGCGATTGAACAATGAAGCGACTTCTCGAACCATATTAAAGGTCCGACAAATGATAGCAAATTGACAATAACCTTTTTTGAATTGACATAGTTAAGACAGTACTGTTGCCCACAACAATCAATTTCGACTTACAACAGGTGCCAATTTATACATTAGATGAAATGCTTTAGATTGAACGGAATGTCGCTAAACTTGAACTCTTTTCTAGCCACTTGAAAAAAACATTGTTTAAACCTTACACTTCATTCAAATAGTTTTATTGTTTAAACGCAACGTGTTTAAGGCGAACACACAAGTAAAAATAAAAACTGTGAAATTGATAAAGCGAAAATAAAATGCAAGACATGCATGCATACCTTTTCAATCTTAAACTGATAAATTAAATTTGGGTGAAACATACATTTTCAATTATAACTGGATACCGACAAAATAAATTTCATTTACAGGGGCAGGAAAAGTGCTAGAGTATATTAATATTCTGGATCTTTTAAATTACTAAGAAACAATGTTTTATATTTTTTAAAATAAAACAAGCGCAGATACATTATTCAAATTATATATATTTAATTTCAGTCCATATCTTGAGTATCCTATACGAATATTTATTAGAATCTATGTCTTATTTCGCGTTAATGTCAGATCAGAACTGGATTCCAACAAAATCCAACAGAAGAATGTATGATTTAGCCATTGTATAGGAGGTGTTAGAATTGGTAAAATAAATTAATCGAGAAATTCTAGATAAGTCTTAGTAAGTGGGAAAAATAAATTGTTCAAAATGTTAGCAAAGTGTCACGCACTGGCTCTTTATATTACAGTATATCGGCTATTCACCAAAATTAAAGCCCCTCCCTCGTATGAACCAAGAATAACAAAGAAGACGATCAACAAAGGATATAGTAAATTCAATACTACTCAACATCCTGCTTAGTTATCTTAATACTGCAAACCCTGACTCGTCATGTATAACGCACCCTCTATGAAAATAAAGACGTGTCCAACAACATGGCCAATATGTCGAATAATGGGGTAACATCATTTTCAAATCACGTGCCGCTTGGTACCATACGTAGATTTAAGTATTGAGTTTTTAAGCCATTATATTGTCCATGTCGAGATTAAAACTCAAGTGCAATGTCAATTCATATGTAAGCTTCACCCAATTGAGTTTACCCATCAATATTTGATTTGTTCTTTTGTAAAAGTTGTGACAAAAACTCAAGTGGTAAGAACGATTCGCAACTTGTAGCCCCTCTTAATTATGGGAATCATAACCCAAAGTAAACGTCAAAAATATGAAGAAATCTCAAAGTATTTGAACGATTTGGAAACTACCTTTGCGTTCCTATTTTATAGATTTATTGAGTAGAGCAAGCCACACAGTCTTAATAACGAAGTAAACCGTGTCAGTTACACTATCGTTCAGTCAAAAGTTTGGCCCCAAAACTCCCCATTTGAACCCTGTGTTGGAGCCTCTTTTTGTTTTAAGGAATTTAAAAATCAAACATGAACAAAGTTCGAATGGTAGTTAGAGTTGCCTAAGTTTTTTGGGGAGTGTCACAGGCTGGTATCGAAATATTTGTCCGCTGTGACGGAGCATGCTATTTTTCGTAAAAACACTAAGAATACTTCACGATTTATTTTTTAACTCATATGTTTCGTTATACCATTATACAAAATTACTTACTCCATGCAATGGATATATCATTTGCGGGTAACTTTCACTTCTGTTTGAAGTCTAATTACGCTGGGAAGAAAAGCTATTGAAAATGGCGCCGGAGTATCATACTTCAATATGTACCATTTCTTGTTTAACTTTCTAATGGCACGATATAGTGACACGATAATATTTGCACATGGTTTCAGCATAACTATGAAGGTATAAATGAGATGTTGATGTATCTGGTCTTTTAAATTCTTTTATAAAAAATAATGTTTAATTCTTTTGTCCGCTGTGACGGAGCAGTTGCAAATGTGAACTGTGAAAATGCTCCGTCACAACGGACAAAAAATATTAATATTATTTTTTATTAAAAAAATTAAAAAGACCCAATGCATTAATATCTCATTAATACATTCAGCGTTATGCTTAAAACATATGTTAATATTATCGTGTCACTATATCATGCCATTAAAAAGTTTAAAAAGAAATGGTACATTTTAGAGTTTGATACTCTGGCGCCGTTTTCAATAGATTTTACTCCTTGCGTTATTGGACTTCAAACAGAAGTGAAGGTTACACGCAAATGATATATCCATTGCATAGAGTAAGTAATTATCTTTGATATAACGAAACATATGAGTTCAAAAATAAATCGTGAAGCATTCTTAGTGTTTTTATGAAAAATAGCATGCTCCGTCACAGCGGACAAATCTTTCGATACCAGCCTGTGAGTGTAATTCCCTTCATTTCCTCCTTCTGAGGGATTGGAACTCCTTTCCAAGCTCAGCTCAATCATCAACATTGTCCGAGTTGCCAAACTTTTGAAGGAGTGGAACTTCCTTTTTAGCACGCCACAATCATCAACATTCGGAGGAGCCAGAGTTAGAATTATCATCCGAAAATTATAATGTGTTAATTTTTCCATAAATGCATTCTTATATTATAGAATATAGTATCAATATAGTATACTATCAATGAATCATTGCATTTACCAAAATAATATTTTGGATGGCAGATAAAACAATGGATAGTTAATCGAAGATCTCACTAAAAACGCATGGTTAGACTTCTTGCATGCCTGAAATAGGCCTACATGTTGATGACGGGTATCAAAACTGTCCTACTTCGTCCAAGAAACATTTACTAACAGTTAAATACCTTTTTTGCAGAATTAAGATACCTACTGAAGTAGAAAAAGAATGTCTGTCCAGCGGATTATAATGGTGCTCTGCGCCCTTTTTGGCTGTGCCATATCACAAGGTAGTAGATACTTGCTTGTCACGTGTTTTATCATACAACATCATGCGTTCCTTTCAAAATAAAATATGAATGTTTAAATCAATTATTTTATAGTGAATATCTGAATTAAAATGATGTGTATCATTTCAAGTTTTAGACATCGCCGATTAATTCGATTGAGCCCACCACTGTCCGATTTGCTTTGTAAGTTAGATGCATGAATTACTGACCAACTGCATATGCTGCTCTATAAACTTGATCGAGATGAATTGAACAATTGACAGATCAACGAACGAGCAACTTCTTGCCCAACTTGCCTTATAACCTAATGGAGAATTAAAGAACTGAAAACAATGCACCGAATGTAACTAACAAACACTCTATGGGGCTAGAAAATACCCGCCCCAAGTAAGCTATAAAACAGGATGATTGATCATACATTGCTTTGGTTTGATTTCAGACGCCTGTTCAGTTAGCAAGGATTTAGTATTTGTATTGGATGTCTCAACAAGTCTTGGATCAGGAAATCATAGAAAAGTTCTAGATTTTGCTATAGGAATCGTGCGCAGTATTAAAGTTGATAAATATAACTACAGAGTGGGAGCATTGAGTTTCAGTGACTCCGGGATTGTGCAATTTAATCTTAATAAGTATTCCAATAAACATGATGTAATGAAAGGGATTGAACGTATCGTTTTCTCAGAAGGGAGTACATTTATGGTAGAAGCTTTGACAATGATGAAGATGATGTTTAACGAATCTTTAGGGGACAGACCTGAAGCTCCAAATATAGGTAAGTAAATATAAAATTCTCATGATCCCTGATTCATCCTTCAGCAAAACCAGTATTATAAAATAACGTAAATATCTTAGCACAAGTGCCAAAGGGAAAATACTAAAGACTGCCAAGAAACCCAGCAAGAAAAGGCAAATTCCAAGTGCAAAACCCACCATAAGAAAAAATATATAAAATAAAAAAGATAATCTTTGGCCAAGCAAAAATGTATAGAGCACAGTTAGTGTAGAATGCACATGCGTTTGTATAGTACTCATCATGAAAACACTTGTCAAAGGGTCAGAATCTCAATGTATCTGTATTTCGTATGTGTTGTCATTAATTTTCAGCAATAATGTTTACGGACGGATCCTCCAAAGATGGCGCTCCTGACCAGGCGGCTCAAGCAGCCAAAGATGCGGGGATCTCAATTTATTGTATCGGTTTAAACACTACTGAGCTGGGTATGGTAGTTCTCATATTTCAATTTGTCTCTGATTTGTTCTCATAGTATTTGTACTCAATAGAAGTGAATTAATTTAAATGAGGGAGAATATAACTAATATAGATTTGGACTGTTCCCATAGATATCATACAAACCTTTGACCCCATTATAGTATATACTATATACCCATTCAGAACCATGTGGTTATAAGAATGTAAGATCGATGGTAATATCGATTATTTCAATAAAATGCAAACGGGAAAATGTTTCTTCTTTATTAATATATATTTTTTCATTCGAGACACTGGCACTTGGTGTTCATCAGGGATCTATATTACGACCCTTATTCTTCAATAGATATTTAAAGAATGTAAGATAAAATATCACATTATACAATGTTTTCGTTCATTAGATATGGAAGATATCAAGTCTATTGCTAGTGTCCCATCGAGTAAGTATGCGTTCGTTGTTGAGGACTTCGATGAGACTCTTACTATGGTCTCAGCAAGCATCATTAAAGCAGAGGGTCCACAGCAGGGTTGTGACTCAGGACCACCAGTTATAGGTAAATACAACGGGTTACAATTACACTATTCTGTTAGAGAAATATCATATTATGCAAGCTACTACACATCTACACATTCAATTGTTTGATACATCTGTAGGCTCACGTATAAACAAAATAACAAATATATATATTAAATGAAAAACATGCCTTAATAGATATGTAAGAACAAGAACCATAAACTGGTAAACACACGTATAAAAGGAACATTTAATAGTGCAACAAATGAACAGCATCGTAATCAATGATTTTACGTCCAATAAAAAGTATCCAACAGCCCCTATCTTCACCATAACAATCTAAACATCAATGTATATAACATATATTATGCTCATGTTTGTTTTTAGTTTGTGAAGGGACAAAAGCTGATGTTGTATTTGCCATTGAAGGAAGTAGCGAAGTCAGTGAGTTTAACTTCCGTCTAATGTTAGATTTTGTAAAAGATACTTTAACGCAACTCAACGTGGGAGACAATACATTGAGGGTTGGAGTAATCATCTATAGTAATGGAGCTTCAGTCTACATCCAACTTAATGACTTTAAGACATATCAGGATGTCGCTGAAGCGCTTGATAATATCAGTCAACCCCTTGGAGGAAGAGATACCTTTTCTGCACTCTCGGTGATGGCAAATGTCGCATTCATTGAAGCAAATGGCGATAGAAAGGACGCTCCAAATTTAGGTATCCTCATTTCAACTGGAACTTCCGACTATCCTCCTGAAACAATTCGCCAAGCAGAAGTTGTGAATCGCAAAGGAATTGAATTATTTGTGGTCGCCATTGGTGACACGAATAACGAGGAAGAAGTTGCTGCTATGGCTACCGACCCAGACGATTTACATATCTATAGGCCTATTAACTTTGTTGAATTGCAGTCACTTGGGCCTCAACCATTCCGCGAGATGATATGTTACCTCCCAGGTTAGTATAAGCTAAATCGCTACTGTTATATCATATGATTGATATTGTAAAGCCGAGATGTACTATTACCATATTGGTATTTTTAAGGCTGCCAAAAACAAAGCCTATATCATGCCTCTTAAGAGTACGCTCATGGCACTGAAGCACCTAGCCTTTGAGTCTTCGAATAAGTATTTTCTGATTTTTTCTGAAAATTCATATTTTAGATTGTCAGGGGAGAGATGTGGATTTAGTTTTTATCTTAGACACAAGCGGAGACTTGATTGAAGAGGATTTCCAGTTAGCCAAGGGGTTCGTATCGTCTTTAATCGGACGTATGCACATCAGTGACACCTATGCTAGAGTGGGACTCATTTCTTTCGGAAACTATTCTGTCGCTCATCTTGATTTGGACCGTCTCAATACCAAAGCTGATATTTTAGCGGCTGTCGATACTATGAAACACATTGGTAGGTTAATTAACAACTTGAAGCGCAAGCAACGAACAAATTTATATTGATACTCTGTGAAATTGAATTTACGTTTACCTAGAAAAAAATTAGATATACTGTGTAGGACTGATATACGCTAAGAGTACGCTTTTTCTTGCTCGGTTCCAATATAACTTTTGGTCATTTCCCTTTGGCACTTATAAAATTGCACTAAACGCCATTAGTAAGTCGAAAACGGGGAAGACCAAAGTGTATCAAACCATAGAAAAAGTAACACGGTTTAACAACCACAAACCCCTAGTATTAAGACCAAAATCTAACTCTCAAAGAAACAATTCCAAGGCTCCTCAGAAACCCTTGCAATCCATAATCCAAAAATTGATACACATGGCTATGTATAGGTGGTCCAAGAAATACTGCATATGCAATAAGCCAGATGAGAGGTATGTTCTCATCGCTAAGAGGAGGAAGAGACAATGCCCCACAAGTGACCATACTTCTGACAACCACACCGTCAGCACAATCTAGCGTTGTACAAGAAATAGCTGAAGCTAAATCAACTGGGGTAATAATAGGCTATTAGTACTCATTAAACTGATTAAAAATAAAATCCACTGATCTATAAATCGATCGGTCAAAAAATAGATAAATGAGACCAAAATACCACATAACGTGTATACTATTATATACTTATAATACATGTTTATAAATATCTACATTTTTATTCATTGTTTGTGTTTCTTTTTACTTTTCTATATACTTGTATTTCAGATAACCATTATGATTGTGACTCCCGAGGGCCAAAATAACACAGAGGAGCTACAGATGTTGGCAAGTTCTCCCGAGTATGTCTTCACCACCCAGAGTCCTCAGACAATGTACAACTTAACCGGGGTTATCGCCCAGGACACGTGCACAATCAAGGGTGTGTACTATACACAGTATGTGCAACATATATCATATATGCCGTGTTAAACGTAGAGTATTGGCAGAAGTTCTATATGATGTTGTTGTAATAGCCATCTTTTGATTATAAAATGTCAAAAAATCACTAAGGACGCGTATAGATATTAAAAATCAGGATCATAGAAATATATTCTGCAACATACACCCGCCATGTAATCAGAAGGCTGCGGGTTCAATTCCCGCCAGGTTGGAGTGATATTTTCACATCATCCGCTTAGCATAGCATTCGATCCACTTTATTCTTCTAAAACATTTTTGATTAATCTCTTTATACAGTTTCTGTCGCAATTACTGTTTTATAGCTTGTTTACACGCCATCGATCTTGTGTTTGTGTTGGACAACTCTGGAAGCATAACAGAAACTAACTTTAACCAGATGATTGACTTTGTAGCAAGTCTGGTAAATGAACTCTATATTGACGGCGGAACTGTGAGAGTCGCCCTTGCTACATTTGGTCCGACTGCCTCTGTGATATTTAAACTGGACAGGTGCGTGTATGAAAAAATCATTTCTTGACACATAAGTATAGTTTGTTTTGCTGAATTGTTTAACAAATGAATTATTTATTGCGTGATCGTTAGTAACTGCAGTTTGCTTTGTATAGTTGAATGCATGACATTTCTTTGTTATGTTTAAATGATTGTTTTTGTCTTAGAATTTCTTTTGTCTTTGGGATTAACTATGTCAGATTTTATGACTTGATGCTATTTATAACCAATAACAAAAAATGTTTTTCTTTGTTTTTAACAGCTACAAAAGGTTAGGTATCTATAAAATAGAATTTAGAACTTTAGATGATATATCTCCAGAAAAGACTGCTTTGCTATCTACAGACACTTCGCTCCCAATCTTAATCGACTCCTTTTGTTACTATGACCAGACTTCTTTTATCCCTCAACTCCTTAGATTTAGATTCATTCCGATCTCCACTTTATTAATTAATCTTATATTTATGTTATCTCTTTGCTTGGGCATATGTCTGTTATGTAAAAAGGCGACAGTGTAGTTTGTCTACAAACGCCACACTACAATACTTTACATAAACTTCGAAATGCATTTCAAGTTAAGTTTTTGAAATTCCTTACAAATATCTAACACATCCGTATATCCTAAAATAAAAATGTTCGTGAAAACAATGCAAGGTTCTATTGACCAAACAACAACTGTACTTTTAGTGCTACATTATCTAGTATCATCTATTTCTATGCATATCGACTGAGAGTCACAAATTATGATCAGCTTAACGACAACATACAATGAAAAACAAATGCAAACATACATGCGCCAAATACTGTTTTATCAAATTTTATAAAAAACATCCTTGATGTTGAAAATAGAGCAAATGGAGTCAAATGAAATTCAATCAACGTGCGTGGTAAGCCACAAAGGTACAAAAGAAAACGTGGCGATATAATCATGATGCCTTGAATAATATTGCCATTGTTTGATTAAATACAGCTACTCAACCCGTCTATCATTGGTGAATGCATTCCAATCTATACTTCCAACAACAGAGGGATCCACAAATATCGAAAACGCCCTTAACCTGCTCATAAATGAAGTGTTTGTTGCTATCAATGGTGACAGAGACGATGTTCCCAATGTAGCCATATTCATATCCGATGCCCGAGCAACGGAGAACAAAAATGGTACAAGGCCTGCTGCAGACCGTGTCAAAGCAGCTGGAATTGAAATTTTCTCCATTGGTGTAGGGAAAGAGCTTCTAAGCAGTGAAATTGAATATATAGCGAGTGAGCCAAAAGGTACTCATCTTGCCATGATTGATGACTTCGATGCACTTGGTAGCCTCGAAAAGGAACTAGTGGGTCAAGCCACGTGTGGTAATCAGTGTGATGGGATGGCTGACATATGCTTCATGGTGGATACATCTGGAAGCATTGGCATTGAAGATTTTGCAAAAGTTCGACAGTTCATAAATGATATAATAGAAGAGATGACCATTGATGGTGCTACAAAGGCTCGTGTAAGCGTAGTGTCATTCGGAGATGATGCCAGTGTTGTATTTTATTTGGACAATTATATGGATAAGAAATCTCTCATGAAAGCTGTAAATCTGATCCAATATCGTGGTGGAGCAACGAACACAGCTGCTGGCTTGGAACTAGCAAGAACTATGGTATTTCAACGGTCTAGAGGTGATCGAGTAGATGCTCCAAATATAGGCATACTATTCACAGATGGTTTGGCCACCCGGAGGATTGAAGACACCCCCTCGCAATCAGTGGCCGCTAGACATGCCGGTATTGAACTATTTGTAGTAGGCGCTGGACCGACAGTTGACCCCAAAGAGTTAATAGGTATTGCAAGTGAACCGAGTGAATCACATCTGTGGATTGTTCCGTCTGGTATTGCGGATCTTGCAACATTGAAGATTGCAAAGAATGTATCAAGAGCCATTTGTAATGGTAGGTAGAGGCCATAATAAATGAAAATACAAGGACAAGAGCAGTCTCCATAATTTCTAGACTTTAAATTTTCTAGTACCATATTATAAACAAAATATTTTAAATTATGCAGATGCTTTGATTATTGTAACGTCCTATATATGGCATCTGGATTTCTAGTTTTCATTTGAGGTCCTCAATAATTGATATGTTTGTGAAAACATTTTAGACGTGGATGATTGTACTTCCTCCACTTGTTCCAATGGCGCTGTATGTAGAGACCTACTCCATGGAACAAGCTGTGAATGTAACCGTGGATATTCCGGTGAGACATGCTCCAGAAAGTGCACTGCCCATACTGATATTGTCTTCGTAGTGGATGTATCAGGCAGTATTGGAAAGATTAATTTCCAAAAAGTTCGAGATTATCTGAGAGCTATTGTGATAGACTTGAGCACTGGACCGAATGCTAGTCGGGTAGGAGTTGTAACATTTGGGTCAACTGCCCTGATAGAGTTTCACCTGGATAAATATGCTACAAAATCTGAAGTCCTGGAAGCAATAGATGCCATAGAGTACAGAGGTATGTGTCCAAGTTATTTTGTGATTATTATTGTATCATTTGAGATTAGTCTAAGTACAGGGTGTACAACAATCATTTAGGGCATTCGCAAATGCCATAAACAGTTTTTTAGATGAATCTAACTCAATCATTACAGGAGGTTCAACTGACATAGCATCAGGACTACAACTGATGAGACTATCTATGTTCAGCGCTGATAGAGCACGGAAATCAGATGAGAAAGTCCGTAAAATCGGAGTCATCATTAGCGATGGAACGCCAACAATCAATCAACTCGATGCCGTTCCACAAGCCAGACAAGCAAGAGTCGCTGACATCCATATGTTTGCTGTAGGTAAGTCATTGATGCACCAATCAGAGGAGAGGGATCCTTCGCCAATCATTGAATCAGTAAAAGTTATATTACCTCTATCTCATCTTGTCCCTTTCAGGCTGTGGCAGTGAGATAGGACTAGGCTTGCTTCGAGGTCTTGCAAGCGATCCTGATGACAAAAATGTGATGCGAGCTGACTCAGTTGATAGCCTGTTAAAACAGGCTAGGGTTAAACTGGTCGACCCGATTTGCAATGGTAAATATTTCCCTTGATAACAATTACCTTTTACTTAATCAATCCATTCTGAGATGCAAGATCCATGTGGAATTCCAAAATATAGTTTAATAGAGCTGTTTTCTTTTTATTTAAATCCATCCACTCCCTGCTGAATGTAAAATGTTTTTTTTAAAATAGAAGTATGAGATCTGAAGTATGTATCACAATTTTTCATTTCTAGATGAAGATGAATGTGAAAGTACCCCATGTGCTAACGATGGGACATGTGTAGATAACATTCTGGGCTATGAATGTCTATGTTCACCCATGTATGCGGGAGTTAACTGTGAAAAGGGTACGAAATAATCTTCATATTATATAGATAGATGTCTCTGGTATATAAGTTTATTGGCCCAACAAAATATATCTTACCAAGTACAAGCTAACATTTGTATGCATATAATGCAGCTGAATGTACATTATCAACAGCAGTAGGAAAATATATATGATGTATAAGTGTAGACCTTTCAAGTTGTTAATAACAAGTTTCTCTGGTAATACGCTGACTTTATATATCTATAAAGACAGTCATTATTAAATAATTTTTGAACTTGAACTTTAAGGTTATCACTTATGTTGTTGAAGTAAGGTATTAGTATAAATAGATTTGAGCATTTCTGCTCTTTCTTTTGTTAAGGAAGCACAATTCAAAATAAAATGTGATAAGTCTTCCTCAATAGGTAAGGTTGTACAAAATGGGCATTCAGAATTGCCACCAAATTTCTAGTAAAGGCTACCCTTCTGTTTGGATGTATCACAACGAAGATTTGATATGTATATCATTGTGAAAAGGGTACAAAATGGCCTTCATCTTGTATGGATAGATGTCTCTGGTATATATCACTGAAAATGGTTGCCTTCGTCTCTTGTATATATCACACTATAATATGAAAGAATACGAGATTGATGTTTGACAAACAGACAAAGGCTGGTCTCGATATCAGCTGCATTACTGTAGTCTCTTTTGTTTTCGTTTTAAACTTCCCCAGAAAGCCACCATGGCTTTGTTACGGTCCAAAACTTGCTCATTGGACACTCACAGTGCAGTAGCAGTATTGATTAGTGTAGCATCTCCCTTTACATCTGCCTTTTTTTGTTGTAGTGTGTAATAGGTCCATCGACGTTGTGTTCTTGGTAGATTCCTCTGGCAGTATTGGAGAGGATAACTTCTACACACAGCTTATGTTCATACAGGGTATTGTTAATGAACTCGAGTTCAACGGTAACACAAGGGTTGGCCTAGTGACGTTTGCTGATCGAGCAGTAGCGCATTTTAGATTGGATACATACACAACGAAAAATGAAATTCTAAATGCTATCAGTTCTGTTCCCTATAGTAAAGGTGGGTGATTTAACTTAGTAGCACATATTTTTTTTAAATAGCTATCTTGAAAACTCGAGAGAGGAACAAGAATCACACTGCCTAAAATAGACATACAGAATTCTCCCATCCTTATTTTTCCTCATACAAAAAGGCCTAGTCTGAAGTTTCAGACATTAGTCATCTAGTTTTGCACCCTTTGCATTCGTTCAATTTCGCTTCTTAAAAGAGAGCTTTGTCTCCGATGTTTTTAACTAGCCTCTGTGCACAGAGTACTAGTTTTGGTGAACACAATACAATTTCTATTCCAGGAGCAACCAACACTGCAGATGGCTTAAAGCTCATGGGAACAACATTTCTAACATCTTCCCCACGCAGTGTATCTAAATATGCAGTTCTACTAACTGATGGTACACCAACTGTGCGTAAAGGGCAGGAAGGTGACGAGGCTCGAAATGCTAAATCTCGTAACATTCGAATCATCTCAATAGGAGTTGGGTCTAATATAGCCAGGAAAAAACTCGATGAACTTTCGACTGATCCTAATAAAGATGTTTTCATGACAGCAGACTTCGCTGAGTTAGATCAACTTAAATTAAAACTTGGATCTAAATTGTGCAATGAAGAGTGAACACGTCCTGTTCGTCTTGATGATATCTGGCTAGAAATACTTTAGACATGTACAGTTGGTCTTGCTATTTTAGTTCGAGTCATTTCCAGAATGAATAAACCTCAGGAGATATCTTTTCAATACAAAGACTTCTAATAGCTGAGAAGAAAAGGAATGTGATAGTTTATCATACCCCATGTTCATCTTCTGATATACCTCAAATACGCTTGCTAGACATGCGTAACACATGTAGACTTGGCGAGATACATAAATATTACGGGGTCAAACCTAGTAAAAACGACCAATAATCAATTATCGCATTAGGACATGGCCATGATGATGGCAGTCACGAAATAGAGCCAAATCTAGTCAACATGCGTAATTGAAAACACGGTACTAAAACAGATTGTCTCAATTTCAGGATTGTTGTTAGCCCATTGGTGATTATATTCAGGTTTACCTAAGATTTTTACTATAACTGTGAGTCTTATGACAACCATTGTTATGGTCTAGACAAATATCGGATGCTACATTTATTCTGATGGTCTAGAAATTACTTTTAATATGCGAGCATGTAGAAACAGCATTAGATATTATGTTAAGTAAAATAGAAGAGGATATGAGAAATAGAGTACTTTAATTAAGGAATTAACAAATTCAATAAATATATTTAAATATAATTATTAATTCTTCATTATTATCATTGTAGCGTTATGCTAATTTTAAGAACTACCTACAAATTTTGATTTGTAAACGTAAAATCAAGGCATAACGTTGGACACAACATTTTAATGCAGTATGACGTTATGTTTTTTAAATCGCATGGTGGTCGATAAGACACGATGACAGTTGACATACGTGTCAGAATATAGGTGATTTCTGAATGTATCTTGCATTCTCAGGGTATCTATTTTTCATAAAAAGTTTTCACTGAAAATTAAACTGGTAAATGGAAAGTGAGGATGGTCTGAATGTCCCTGACCTTATAATGTGTTACATATCTTTTCTATTATCACATGTTCATTCATGTGTTTCGGGTTGATATTGGTGAATACTAGGTTAATAATAATGTCATTCTAAGGCTTTTGTTGTTGCTTAGTTCGTTGGCGTGTTCATTTTATTTTTACAGTTCATATAACATTAAAAGTTCAAGTAGTCCTTTCATATTGTAACAAAAAATCGCGGCATACATTGATGTCAACCTCTATGTTACAAAAGTAAAAACATCATCAGATCGTTTTTAGGAAGGCTCTAAAACCTCCAGTGCGGCTCCAGTGCTGACCATGGCAAACATTCACTCACAAGCGGATTTAGGCAATACGTTCTCACCTATTAAACCACATGGTTATGTTTGGCGATCGAAATAAACTCAAATATTTATCAAAAACCGACGAAATGCAATTGAGAAAAAACCAAACACAAACAACGTATTTAAAACAGGTTATAACTATCGAATGAGGAACATGATAACCAAACCTTTGTAGTGTAGTGAATGTGGTTTGCCTAGCGTCAGAGGAGTCTATATGACATAGTAAATAGTGAATAAATGAGATTTCTCCAACTCAAGGAGCTGATAGATTGCAACACGTGCGCCCCCTTTTCTATCAACAAACCAGCCATTTTATGATGACCTAACTTGGTGGCAACGTGAAGAGGCGACCAATCATGTCCTTCGCATATATTCACTGCAGCCCCATTTTCTATGAGGATTTTAGCCATTTGTGTATGTCCATTCTGAGCTGCGACATACAGGGCTGTCCTCCCATCATTATTCTGAGCATTTACATCGACAATATCAGTGTTTTGTAGAATAACCTTTGCAGCATCGATATGTCTGCCTTGCACTGCGAGGTGTAAGGGGGTTGATCCAAGACGAGTGACGTCATAGGGGGAACGTTTATATTTCTTGAGCAACTCTGTGATAGCTTTTGTGCTACCGCAAAAAGCAGCAGTGTGCACGCACGTCCAGTTTTCATTATTTACAATGGTCACCTTGGCACGGTTTGCCAAGAGAACTTTCACTACTTTGTTACGGTTCTTAGAACATGCGGCATGAAGCGGAGTTTCCCCGTTCAAATCTTGCGAGTTTGTAATAGCTCTAGCTTGTATCAACATTTCAGCTATTTCGTCATATCCATTTAGAGCCGCGATGTGTAAAGGAGTTAGATTGTTTGTACTCCCTACGTTAACATTTGCTCCTTGTGAAATAAGGTATTTTACTGTAACAATATCACCATTGTGGACTGCGAGGTGCAACGCGGTTGTTCCCTTAAACGTACGTGCGTTTACGTCTGCGTTCCGCATGATTAACTCTTGTAGTACGTTAACATGACCACCATATGCAGCCTTGTGTATTGCTTGGAGACCCTTTCTGTAAAAAAACATATATACCAATTTGAAAAATAATATTAGTATTATGAATGAAGAGAACGTTTACCGGCAGCTCCACCGCGCCAATCATTTGACCGTGACACGGACTTAAAATGTGTTTATTTAAAATGTGTCCATATTCTGTACCGATAATAATAATATGCGTCGTATATGGAATCAGAGTTCAAATTTACCTGTCTATGATGCTGTTTTGGGCTCCACTATCCAGCAATAATGTAGCAATGTCATGGAAACCGTATCTGGATGCTGCATGTAAGGCCGTACAACCGTTTTGATCTCGGTAGTTCTTTCTACAACCACTAGATAACAGGACTTTCACCGTTTCTATATGCCCATATGCGCACGCATACCATAGAGGTCTCCTCTTCTTGCCATCATCGGGATTTAGAGGGACGCCATTGTTGATACAGAGCTTTCTAAGAAACGAAGTCCGACCCCATCTGAAAACAAGATCGTTGTGAAGGTATTTTCAAGAGGACCTAACTTGGTGTAAAAATGAAGAAGCGACCAAGAAAAAGTAATAAAACGTTCCAGATCATTATCAAAACGATGATATCGTTTGGGTGAGACAATGGAATACCTATGTTCCAATACTCTGTCTCCTGATAATTAGTTTGGAAGGGACTTCGAAGGAAGGGAATGGAAGTTTAAGAAAAGGACTAGTTTAAACTACTAACCTCGATGCGCAATGTACACAGGTCCATTCATATGACCCAATGTTCGGCTCACAACGTTTAATTTTTGCAGTGCATAATTTCTTCAGCATGGGTTGGTTATCTTCTAAGATAGCGTTCAAGATCGTTCCACGATCTTCTATCAATGCTTTCTCCAATTCTCCTGCAATTTCCTCGATGTTCATCGAGACAAATGACCGATTTGTCATTTTAAACGCTCAGCTCTGTACTTGTAATAGACGATTGCGATTCATTAATTTAATCTGAAAAAGAAACTAAATCGATTATAATTATGTTCTATTGTGGGTTTATCCAATTTAGACGACATTCAGGTGGCGTTTAAGGCATTCTAAAAGCCTGGCATAACATCAGTCAATTCAGAGGATGTTTTGACTATGAACTGTGTCCAATATTAACTTCAGAAGCATTATTGATCGTAAAAATATAAATAAATATTTGTAGTGGAATATTAAATTCCCATTTAAAACGGTATAATCTCAGTCATGATATGGCACTAAGGCATCACAATTTCTCTAAAGTGTGTATTGTTATCATACGAAAAAGGTGAATAGTTGAGTCAACACAAGGATATCAAAAAATTTAAGCTCAGGTTTTGATGATTCCTTGGTGGTTTTGGTCCATATTTGGCATACATGGCAAAATATTTTGAAGATTATTATTAACACGAATTGAATTCAACCAAAACTTTTATGTAAGGCTAATTATCTTGTCCTCAAATCTGACTATGTGTATGTGTAAAATACGTTTTATGTCTCGCACACTAGGGTAAATCACACTACCCTACCACGTGACCACATTTAAAAAAGGATACAGGGTACAGTTAAGTTGCAAATGGAGCGGGTATTCTCTATATTTGTCCATTGGGCTTTTCTGCTCGATGAATCTATAAAATGTATAGTAGAACACTTGGAATATATTCAAAATCTAGTATAACTTCAGAAACTATGGAAATAAACAAACGTCCTCCATTTGCAACTTCGCTGTCGCCTGTATTTCTTTTAAAGGAATACAGGATACAGTATGGGGGTATAGTAGTGTGTAAATATCAGATGTGAATGAAAATATTTGAAAGTCTGCCATTGAATCGAAAACGATACAGTAAGAACGGGTAGAAAAAATATTTTGTTTTTCATCCCTGTTATTCATCTGGCATGTTTTTTTTGTTTAATTATTTATGTTCGATTTTCGACAGATTCAAACTTGCATGCATTTTCAAATATGTAAGATACAGCTCTACATGTACCTATCTAGTGATATAATTAATACTTTAGATATACTAGTTATATTCATATATTCTATATAAATTTATCGTATGATTTGTAAAATGAAGCCTTCTGATTGGTCAGTTCTTGTGCTGTACCAATCTGTATTGCTACTGAGATTGTCCCCATTGATCATCTCCGTCGCAATACAGAAAATATTTGTACGGAGGGGACATTCTCAGTTGCAATACAGAGGATCACACAATAAAAACGTTATAGAATGGTTTGATGTGCAATACAGGATATATTCTGCTCGAGAAATTCCGTATTGGAACGAGACGAAGTCGAGTGCCAATACAGAATATCGGGACATTCAAATCATTCAATAACTTATTGTATTGTATCGCGAAACACTTTGTACCACTCCTTTAATTCTTAAAGTTTCCAAACAACTGATGAAATCAAGCGATTGAAACACTTTTTGTTATCACATTTTCATTAAAGTGACACATACATCTACTAACACTAAATAATCCTAACCTATTTTGAATTTAGAAAATAGGACAAATGATATTATAAATTATGTTTTTACTGTAACTACAAGGTATAGGAACATGCATGTTAAAAATGATTAATGAAAAATATTATTAATACACATGAAGGTGACAAAAATAGAAAATAATGTATCCTTTACCTCAAATATTGTTTGTATTTACAATGAAATAATCGAATGATAGACAGGTGTAAAAGGATAGGTGGTCCTATCAATGTTGGTCCTACTCTCTATTGATTTATATGGTGACCTAATTACAATTATTTTCCTTATTACTTTTACACAGTCAGGGCCAGTAAGGAAAGGGGACCATAATCCCTAGGGGACCATAATTTCTTTTACACCGGCCTATTCAGAAGCACTTATCTCGCAATTCTACCTCCCAAGATACCATGGATACATACCGTTTCTAATGGTTACATTCATAAAGTTCCTAATAGTTACATTCCGAAATCTCATAATGTAACGTTACGTCCATGAACCTTCACAAACTAATATTTTAAATGCATGTAAGGTGACTTTAGTCATGAATACTACATGCTCATATACATGTCCTATGTATACTCTCTAAATTGGAATAACAGTTTGTATATATAAAGCCTATTAATAAACTATGTGACAAGCTAATCTATGAATGAATGTTAGTATTTGTTTGTTTGTTTGTTTGTTTGTTTGTTTGTTTGTTTGCTTGTTTTTTGATATATTCAAACTTGACACTGGGTCTTGATATACATGGTGTCCATATAACACTGTACACAGACTGTATCGTGATTGTAAAGAAACTTTACGGACACCATGTATATGTACTGTATTATTAATACGCATGTATTTTCAAATGTATATGAGATTCAATTACCTATCTAGTGAAATAATTATATCATTGTGTATATATACAAATTATATAATTGCATTTTCGATCTCAAAAAATTGTTTTGAAACACTTTTGTTTGAAAAATTGTGAAGTTATTGAATTTTCAAAGTTAAAAGTTTGTCCTTTAAAAGTTCATTTACTCTTACAAGGATCACAAGTCTAATGTCAATAAGATCATATAGTTATATTCCAATGGTGTTTTAAATTGATCCAAATGGAATTACTTCTTAAATCAAGAAATTTAGTGACTCTGACAATACATTTAAATGTATTCTAGCCCTACTCTAGCCCTACCAATACCCATGATGCCATCTATTTTCTATTTATATGGAAATGGTCAATTTGGAACAAAGAGTTTAATGTAAAAAGATTAATAGTCGAGGGTTACTAATTTTCTGCAAAATTTGAAACTTAACAAAGTGCAAATGTGCAATGACCTACTTTAAATCGTATAAAAACGGAAGTCACTGAATTTTCTCAGTTTTCATACATCTAGAATATTCATTAACACTTAACTAGTCAAACATCCCAATGAATTATGTTTACCTGAAAATAACACAGGACTCCAATTAACATTTCTGAACATACAGAACTACCTTAAATGCAAGCACTTAGGCATGAGAATCATTAAAACATTGTATACACTCTAAACTGGAATAATCCGATAATAACAACAATGGATTTAAAGCCTAAAAATATACAAAATGACAGGCTAATACATGTATAGACGAAATAAATATGTTAATATCCTATATTAGATATTATTGTAGTACTTGTTCCAGATTTGGACGATTGAATGGGACAAGTCTATTTTGATCGCGCCCTTGCCGTCAGTTTAAGTTGACAGCAGATCCACTTTAGATTTAAAAAGTCACAATGGCATAAGTACATGTGAGATATTAGATATATCTTGAAAATCATAATGAAATTGAATGTATATTAAAAATTATAATCATAGTCAAAAATTATAAGCCAGTGTGATCCGAATTTCCTATATTGGTACCAATTTCAAAACAACTGAGACACAAACCATTAACAATGCAAAATGTCACCACCTGCCATTTGTTAAAGATGCCAACCGCCGGAACACCGTCCACAAAAAGTCGGTGACATAAAAAGTGTCAAACGACGTAACGTTATGCTGTTACTCTGTCTTAGAATAACACGTCCAAAAAGGTGCATGTAGCATGAGTACCATGATTATGATAAGGAGAAGGTAGCGTGTAAATTCGGAATAATAAGTATGAATGTGATGAAGTACACGTTGAGATTTGTTTTCAAATGTCAGAATGAATATTACTAAACTACAGTTGTTGTTTACATCTATGTACATGCTGCTTTGCACGCACTTAATCTCACGTCCTGGAAACAAAAATCAGACAAAAACAAAAAAATGTATTTACCTGTAATGGGGGGCATCATCCATACATCACTTCTCACTTCAATATTGTTTCAGCCTTTTAATCCAATGTCTAACCTCAAATGGCCACGTTAACCTTGCGATAGGGGCGATCCAATAGATGGCTGAGGAAGCCCTTATAAAACATTCATAGTTCATACACAGATTAACCAACGAGCAGCTGATTGCGAGCGTACCCTTGTTCAATAGTTCGATTTAATTTCTTTTAAAAAGTGCAGTAGTAGGCCTATTTACAACTACTAAAGGCTTTTGTCTCTGGATCCTGATTGCGTACACCGAATTAGCAAAGCAGCTGGCAAGTTTTATTCAAGTGTCACGAAAAGTGATTTTAAAAGTGCGTATCCTATTATACATAACTTTTACATAGTTTTCTTATGTCTAACCATCTTTCATTTTGTTTTTTCAGGTAGAACGGTTTATTCCCTGATAAGAGTTCGGGGGAAAATGGTTAATCTACTTACAAAAGTTCAGAGGCTAAATGGTTTATCTGCTAATAAAATTTCAGAGGATGATAGACAAGTCCATGGTGCTTTGCGGCATTGGTATTCCTTATTGTCGACATTTCAACTTTTTATTCTAATTCAAATAATGACACCTAGCTGGATAACTGAAACAGTTGATTATTAGGAAGTTATATGTAAAGTTGTTTTAGGTATAAAGTTCGAGTAAGGTTGTGAACTGTCTGTTAAAAAACAGAAAACTTTTTGAATGAAACGTGGATAGCGCGTCATAAATTAATCATATAAAAGTTTTGACGATTTTAGATGCTCCTATGACTTATCATAGCTACAAATATCATGCATTAAACAAATATTATATTATTTTTGTATTTGGAACATTTCCACAACTTTGATCACTTTTAGGATCTAAAACTTAAACACCGCAATGTCAGAAAAATTATTTTCGTCCAGAATCAGAAATATCTAGGTTAAGATTGATCAATCTATATGCAGCACTCCCAAATTCAATGTACATTTTCCATGTTGGTGTCCATTCAAACTGCGTGTAGTATACGTGTATATGTAGACATCAAGGAGTATAAACATCACGGTGTTACAGCATTACGGTTACGCCACCTCTGAAAACAAGATTGGACGGCTACGTTCACTGATTTATCCAATAAAATGGCCGCGATGGAAGAGAAAACTAAGGGTGGTGCATTATTTTCTACTACTGATATACGTCACCGAATGGAACAAGTTTAAAAGGAAATCTTATCTGTGAATATTGCCCACAAGCGAGAAAGAGTACATGCTGGCTTTCCCATCCGCCATTTTTTGTTGTCGTTTCCTCAAAATTTTGCAAATCTCCTTGACGTAACCGTCATGCTATAACACCGTGAACGTGAACGGTCAGATTTTGCGGACGACTAAACTCGTATACACTTCAATTTTCTTTTGATAAAGGTCAAACTCATGCAACATGGCTGATTATTAATGATAAGTCAAGTACTTCACGTGGTTTGCAAAAATCCCTGGACATGCAGTCAAAGAACATTATCGAGATTATGTAATTTATTAGAACAATTTACATTTTTGCTTTACAAATTGCTGGCAATTATGACCCTACCACACATTGAGCAAATTGGCAACAAGTTAGTTATGATTGTTTTCTAGACAAACATGTATGTATTTATCTTCACAGTTTGAGATTGTTACACAAGTGCACTGGTTGGCCCAATAACATCAGTGTCCCGGTGTAAAAGGGTAGGAGGTCCTATCAAATTATGGTCCTACTCTCCATTGATTTATATGGTGACCTATTTCCCTTATTATCTTATACACAATCAGGGCCAGTAAGGGTCGTTAAGGGGGACCATTATCGCTGTGGGACCATAATTTCTTTCACACCGGCACAAAATGTTTTCTGTTTGAAACTGTTTTCACTATTCTGATTTTTAGATGAGGTGATTTGGACTAGAGTTGAAAAATTTTAAGAGGGACATTTTCGAAACATTTCTTTTGCATATTTATTTTTTTGGACTCTATTTTTTCGAGTACAAGTTTATATATTCTCATATTAACCTGTGTCCCTACATTTCCATGACCCTTGGGATGATTGGTTGGATTAAACATTCCTCTAAATGGTAGTATATAAAGGCCTACAGAATTAAAAAAATTATTGTTGTCAAGGTCATCCATCTTAAATTAACTATACTATGAAATTATCATTTTTCATCAGAAACCTGAGTCAACCCCTTGTACATGTTGTAAAAAAGCTACATAAAATCTTTATTTTTATTTGTCCTTTTATTTCATAAATAATTCATTAATTTGTCTTCCAGTGACACCATTTTTCATTTCTATATTTCAATCCATAATAAGGCTCTGTAACAAGATGTCTAATAGACCTATTAAATTTGTAAAATAGTGAATTTCATTAAAAAGGATAGCAATCATATAATAATTTCTTATTAGAACCCAATTTGATTTTCCATAGTCTATGGAGCTTGGGTAATGCAGTCTTTGTAACATATTCCATCCAATTGAGTCTCCCTTTTGCCTAATGACTGTATGATATTCAGGAATATTTTCCAGACCATATTTGGCATATTCCATCATTTATTAAGACATTCTGGTCATCTTTAATTTAGTCTAAAGATTAAAGCTATAACCCAAATCTAGTAATTTCCCAGAGGGAAGTTTTGCTTCAAGCCCCTTTGTCCAACATTTCACCGCAAAATCAATAGTGAAGTAGACAGAAAGCTCTAGAAAATTGATTCGAGACTTATATGATATTCTGTCCTGTATCTAACAGTTACAATTATGTGGATGAGGGTGGTGTCTCAACAGCTGTAGTTGGACTATCCTCGCCCTCAGGAATCTTCCATTGGAGTGCACGTCCTTTCTCATACATGCTTTTCAAAGTCTCTTTGATGCTATCGGGACCCTGTGCCTCTATCTCCATGTAGCGCTTATAAAGCTTCAGCGCAGTCTTGGCATCTTCTATAGAGTCATGGGTTACAGATTGTATATTTGTCTCTGAAATTCAAAATGATTTGATATTTGGGGATTGTGCACCAGAATTATGAATTACAATGGTATTAGTAACATGCTGCTTTTTAAATTTTCAAAAATTCATGAATCGTATGAAGTCTTTACACAAATAGGGATTCTAATCATATGAAACAAAGTTTAAACGATTGAATATTTTAAGTTTTAGTTTGATACTTATTATTACTGTATTCTCAAGATGTGAATATATAAGGCCAAATGCCAAAAGGAAAGGACCAAAAACTGTACCTGTTATTGCATAGGTTACTGAATAGGTAATTGCAAATTAATTGTAGAAACTGATCCCATTTGTCAATTGGCATAACAACTACATAAGCATACTATAAACACTAAATGAGACTATAATAAGATTAGATTAGATAGTTTATTTGGAAAATAAGTTCAATTTTATACTTACTTAAAAAGTACCAAGCAAGGAATTTCAGTGAGATCATACGCTGTCTGGGGAGTCTGAACAAGTCAACTGTGTCCACCACCTGGCCCTTGGGTACCTATTAAATGTAAGAATAACAAACAATGAATAGTTTCAGATTCAAATGTGGAATACCAGTTACCAATAAACAGTGGCTATAGCAATATGTTATATCTTGGTTAGTGTCATAAAAATATGTCCATTACTAAATGACAGTTAACCATGAAAGTGAATAGGGTAGTATACTGAATTAGGTAAAAAAAATTAGAAGTAGATCTCCTCATTATAGTTCATCTTCAGAATGCCCAAAAAGTAATAAGGTTTGAATGGTATAGCTAACATTTCATTGATACTGCTATATCAGCAAGGCGACTAAAACTAAAATCTATCACCAAATGGGGTGGCGGACCAATTGAACTCCTCTTTTTAGATCAAATATAATCCCAGTTGAAGGACTTGTTACATTATATTATTACTGAGAACCCTTGGCACTATATAACTGCAAAATTTGGGGTATGTAGATTGGAAAATAAAAAAGTTATAGTGTCTTGAAAAAAAAGTGGCGTTTTTTTGGCCCACCCGGTATATGGGATAAATATATTATACATGTATATCATACCACAATGTTGATGACTCTGAAGTCCTTCTTCAGTCCATGTCCAACAAACTTGACCCCAGCATCAATAAGATAGCGTAGCTTGCAGTATGTGGACTTTAGGGTGGTGAGATGCTTTGAGGACAGTGTGGCATCCAGGTCACCTGGTTGTATACCAGAGAACTGGGTTAGGTAATCAACCACCTGGAATGAAGATGCATGTTTTTGTTTTAATCCATATTTATTCAATTCTTCTCTTTTGCAGGATTTTGTGTAACCTGATGATGATGATGAAACATTTCTTTGAAATAACACTTTTGCTCAGTCTCACTAATCTAGCTACAAGCCCCTGTGCCCCCTCCCCCCTCTACTTGACTTTTCACCTTCCTACAATGTTGGGATGAGTAGTGGGGGTCACAAGGTCTTGTAGCTAGACCAGAGTATCAGATGTTTCCATGGTTATTTAAGGGAGAGATTTGTGTATGATTGTATTCGTGTATGTATTGCATATTTAACGCATTTAGGATATCACATGGCATTTCAATGAGCAAAGATACTGACTTGTTATATAACGAACACTTTTTATTTTACAAAATGAAATAGGCTCAGAATTACATGTTCTTGTGTAGATACACAAATCTTCCACCCTCAGCTACAATGGACCATATTCCAGTAAACTTAGTTTCATTTTTCACATCAATTCACTCCAGTTATTACCTGCTCTTGTGTTGATATGTAGTCATCGATGAAGGCCTCTCCCTCCAGTGCACCATGTCCCCTTATACATGAGATCCTGGCAACAGACATTTGGGAGGGTTTGATTGTTGAGCGGGTACCATCACTGCGCAATTCAGCCTCTTCCTATAATAATGAAATTCAAAATTAATTTTAGATGATAAATACATGTCAGTAGAGACAATTTGATAATTAATGCTTGGCTTTCTCTAGCCTACATTGTAATATTTCATGCTATTCAATTCACCTGTTAGATACAAACTGTTTTGCAGTTTTCTTTTCTATACAGACCAATTTAGCCTGAACTAAAGTATTTTGAAAGAGTGCTATGAGGTGCTGCCACATATTGGCAATTTGCACAACTAAAGTACAATCTTAAATTGTGTCGACACAATACCTGTATATATACATGTATGTAACAGACTTGCCAACCTAAAATGAAAAATTTTCGGGAGATTTAAAAAAAATTGCGGTACTTTTACGGGAGTTTTTTTCAAAATCCGGTAGTTTTTGCGGGAGTTTTTTAAAAAAAGCGGGAGTTTTTACGGGAGGTTTTTGAAAAAAACTGTAGTTTTTACGGGAGATTTCTGAAAAAACTGGAGTTTTTACTTTAGATTTCGAAAAAACGGGAGTTTTTACGGGAGATTTTTGCGGTAAATTAAAAAAACGTGACTTTTTACGGAAGATTTCAGAAAAACGGGAGTTTTTGCACTAGGTTCTGAAAAAACGGGAGTTTTTACGGTAGGTTTTGAAAAAACGGGAGTTTTTGCGGTATATTTTCTTAAAAAATGGGAGTTTTTACGGTAGATTTCTGAAAAAACGCGAGTTTTTACGGGAGATTCTGAAAAAAATGGGAGTTTTTACGGTAGATTTCTGGAAAAAAACGGGAGTTTTTACTGTAGATTTAGAAAAAAACGGGAGTTTTTACGGTAGATTTCGGAAAAAACGGGAGTTGTTACGGTAGATTTTGAAAAAACTGGAGTTTTTACGGTAGATTTCTGAAAAACGGGAGTTTTTACTTTAGATTTTGAAAAAACTGGAGTTTTTACGGTAGATTTTGAAAGAACGGGAGTTTTTACGGTTACGGTAGATTTCTGAAAAAAACGGGAGTACTTACAGTAGGTTACTGAAAAACGGGTGTTTTCACGGTAGATTTTGAAAAAAAACGTGAGTTTTTACGGTAGATTTCTGAAAAACTGGAGTTTTTACGGTAGATTTTGAAAAAACTAGAGTTTTTACGGTAGATTTATGAAAAAACGGGAGTTTTTACTTTAGATTTTGAAAAAACTGGAGTTTTTACGGTAGATTTTGAAAAAACGGGATGAGCATTAAATCCAGCGATTTAATTGGTTGAAATTATTATGACGCATGCGCAGTTAATAAATTAATTAGAACTTATAATCTAAGATAGATGTCACTTACGTTAATTATTTCACAGCAGTCCCTACCCAAAATGCGCCTTATATTGCGGGAATATTTTGTTTAGCGCCATATAAAAACAAAATGTATTCTCCTGACAGAAGTATGACAGAATATGAACTGGCCCCCGTTTGTGGACATTTGGTGTGCAAACTTATACCGAACTGATCGCAGAAAAGCAATGTGAATCGTGGGAATGAAGTACTTTTAAGTTATTTATGAAAGTATCGATAGTGAACCATGGGAGCCAATCCTTCTTGGAGTAAAAGAAAGAAGCGTGCCTGCAATAATCAAGGTCACAAATTTGTCAAATTCCTTTTAAATACGGTAGATTTCGACAGCAAAAAAATACGGGAGATTATTCGGGAGTTATACCAGAAAACGGGAGATTTTACGGGAGTTATAGCAAGAATACGGGAGATTTTACGGGAGTTATACCAGAATACGGGAGATTTTACGGGAGATTTTACGGGAGATTTCAGCAAAAATATGGGAGATTTTACGGCCATATTTTTTAAAAAAGTTACGGGAGATTTTAGTAGAAATACGGTACGGGAGTTTACAGGAGTTTTTACGGGAGAAAACGGTACGGGAGTTTGGTATTTTTTACGGAAAAACAAAAAATTTACGGGAGATTCCCGTAAAAAAACGGGAGGTTGGCAAGTCTGATGTAAGCATAAGTACTAAAAGTGAGAAAAACAAAACAACTTTAAAGCATTGAAAGAAAAAGGCAATCTAAGAGTACAAAACAAATCCCCAGCATCCAGAACATTGATCATACAGGGTGAGCCAAAGGTAACCCAAACAATTGTTAATAACTCAGTCATTTAACATTTGTTTGTGTCTCACCCTGTATGTACTAATCTTTCCCTCTTACATTCAAACGCCATTATTGAAACCTAAGACCACTGGGCATTTCATTCCACATATAGAAGTCATTATATGTATACCTGATTCAGTGTTACAAATTCTGCATCTAATCCCACAAGGTCTCCATCTTTGGGGACTTCGTCATCGGCAAGTGGAGTGAATGTCACTCTTTTACGACGTGGTGTCACCAAATTCTCCTCAACAAACAGCACTTTCGAGTCCATAGGATTCTGAACTGTAAAGGCATGAAATATTCATTTTAGGTCAAGGTCAATTAAGATCAACTTCAAATGTCACATATTAGTGCTTTCCTTAGTATTGGTAAAGCTTACACTGGCTGCCAAAAGCAAAACCTTTTAGTAAGGAATCATTTTGTGACATATGTATTCCTTTTGTTGATCAATCTATTATTTGATATGATGAAGACAAATGTAAAAAGGAATTCATCTCTATGTAATATCACTAATGATTCATTCCCAAAGTTCCCAAGTGATTTCTGTAATGCAGTAGAGACTGTATAAGTGGAACACCCTTGGGAACACAAAAAAATTACATTGCACTAAAGCCAAAGGATGATTGTACAATGTACTTACCTGTCAGATCATATTTTTCACTGAGATTCACTTTGACAAAATATATTACACACGGAACCTTCCAGTCAAGGTCAAAGTGGACAGCACCATACTGAAATAGAGCAATACAATGAGTGAAAACATGGAACCCTCCAGCCAAGGTCAAAGTGGACAGCACCATACTGAAATAGAGCGATACAATGAGTGAAAACATGGAACCCTCCAGTCAAGGTCAAAGTGGACAGCACCATCCTGAAATAGAGCAATAAATTGAGTGAACACATTGAACCTTCCAGTCAAGGTCAAAGTGGACAGCACCATACTGAAAAAGAGCAATACAATGAGTGAACACATGGAACCTTCCAATCAAGGTCAAAGTGGACAGTGCCATACTGAAATAGAGCTACACAATGCGTGAACACATGGAACCCTCCAGTCAAGGTCAAAGTGGACAGCACCATACTGAAATAGAGCAATACAAAGAGTGAACACATAGAACCTTCCAGTCAAGGTCAAAGTGGACAGCAGCATACTGAAATAGAGCAACACAATGAGTGAACACATGGAACCTTCAAGTCAAGGTCAAAGTGGACAGCACCATACTGAAATAGAGCAATACAATGAGTGAACACATGGAACCTTCCAGTCAAGGTCAAAGTGGACGCACCATACTGAAATAGACCAATACAATGAGTGAACACATGGAACCCTCCAGTCAAGGTCAAAGTGGACAGCACCATACTGAAAAAGAGCAATACAATGAGTGAACACATGGAACCATCCAGTCAAGGTCAAAGTGGACAGCACAATTCTGAAATAGAGCAATACAATGAGTGAACACATGGAACCCTCCAGTCAAGGTCAAAGTGGACAGCACCATACTGAAATAGAGCAATACAATGAGTGAACACATGGAACCTTCCAGTCAAGGTCAAAATGGACAGCAGCATACTGAAATAGAGCAACACAATGAGTGAACACATGGAACCTTCCAGTCAAGGTCAAAGTGGACAGCACCATACTGAAAAAGAGCAATACAATGAGTGAACACATGGAACCTTCCAGTCAAGGTCAAAATGGACAGCAGCATACTGAAATAGAGCAACACAATGAGTGAACACATGGAACCTTCCAGTCAAGGTCAAAGTGGACAGCATCATACTGAAAAAGAGCAATACAATGAGTGAACACATGGAACCTTCAAGTCAAGGTCAAAGTGGACAGCACCATGCTGAAATAGAGCAATACAATGAGTGAACACATGGAACCTTCCAGTCAAGGTCAAAGTGGACAGCACCATACTGAAATAGAGCAACACAATGAGTGAACATATGGAACCTCCCAGTCAAGGTCAAAGTGGACAGCATCATACTGAAATAGAGCAATACAATGAGTGAACACATGGAACCCTCCAGTCAAGGTCAAAGTGGACAGCACCATACTGAAATAGAGCAACACAATGAGTGAACACATGGAACCTTCCAGTCAAGGTCAAAGTGGTCACATGGAACTGATATAGAGCAACACAATGAGTGAACACATGGAACCCTCCAGACAAGGTGAAAGTGGACAGCACCATACTGAAATAGAGCAACACAATGAGTGAACACATGGAACCCTCCAGACAAGGTGAAAGTGGACAGCACCATACTGAAATAGAGCAATACAATGAGTGAACATATGGAACCTCCCAGTCAAGGTCAAAGTGGACAGCACCATACTGAAATGGAGCAACACAATGAGTGAACACATGGAACCTCCCAGTCAAGGTCAAAGTGGACAGCACCATACTGAAATAGAGCAACACAATGAGTGAACACATGGAACCTTCCAGTCAAGGTGAAAGTTGACAGCATCATACTGAAAAAGGGCAATACAATGAGTGAACACATGGAACCTTCCAGTCAAGGTCAAAGTGGACAGCACCATACTGAAATAGAGCAATACAATGAGTGAACATATGGAACCTCCCAGTCAAGGTCAAAGTGGACAGCATCATATTGAAATAGAGCAATACAATGAGTGAACACATGGAACCCTCCAGTCAAGGTCAAAGTGGACAGCACCATACTGAAATAGAGCAACACAATGAGTGAACACATGGAACCTTCCAGTAAAGGTCAAAGTGGACAGCATCATACTGAAATAGAGTAACACAATGAGTGGGAAACATGCTACTGAAAGCCCAGATGTGAGCTCATTGCAACAAAATGAGCCAATGTATCATACATATGCATACTATGATAGAAATATATTATTTAATGAACTTATTTAAAGATGGATACAAATCTTTTTTTCCTCATTTACATCAAGTCAGATTTTAAATATTTTTTAAAATTCACGAAACAAACATGCTAGCTTTAATATAGCTTTTACAGAACTTACCTTTTCAATGGGTGTGATGGAAAAGTCATTAAAAAGGTACCACTGTGTGCATGTGACCCTCTCCTTGCGTTGATGGTAGGGCTCACGAACATTCACATGACTGACAAGGTGACCTCCAGATTTGGCCTCCTTTATGTGAGCCACACTTCCATGTAGGCGGTAATAGACTGTACCCTCCTCTGCTACAATAGGGATTTCCTCCTGGAAGTTGTAATTTGGGGTAAAATCAACTAATGCAACTGTACATTTGAGGGAGTCAATATTCTCCATTTACTAGGTTTAGAATAGGTTAAGAGCATTTTTCAGAGAACTTATTGAACAACCTCAGGAAAATATTAAAACTATAATTTCTTTTTTTTAAGTCAGATTGGTATTACATAAGATGGTTCTTATTAAAGAGAATCAGTCAACTCTTTTCAAAAATGGCCATTGGAAGAATAACATTCTAATAGGATGGTATAAAGTATAGAAAAGAGAACATATGGAAATCCATAATGCTAACATACCTCATCCATTATATCCTGCATTTGTATATCTCCTTCTTCTGTTGTCTTGACCATTACACCAAATGGCAGCCAGGAGGGTCTGGCAGGGTCCTCTGTAGACAACAGGTTCATATCCATGTCAGCACTGCTGTAAAAGTTAATCACATATTAAAGTGGGATTCAATGCTTTGAAAATTTTTGAAGTCTAAATTTTACCGAGGTTTGCAGATTTCATTTGGAATATTTGAATTCTGTGTAGCATATGTAACTCTCTTGTATTTCCAAGGATTCCAAGAAAAAATATAATATTTCAAGATCTAAAACCCATAGTCAAGAATCATTTTACAACTTTTACAAGCTTTAAGAATCTTCAATAACACCTCTTGGAATAAAACACTACCTCTTGTCCTTATCTCTCTCATGGAAGAAGTGACATCCTTTACGAGTGCATCCATTTCCAAATCTACATGGCTTGCTGGGGAAAGCTTCCACTTTTTCCTCTGGTACAATACTTTCTTTAACAACCTGAAATTAAATGCAATAAATCTATTTAGAGTGGATCAAATGATCATATGATTTTAAGAAATTGAGACAAATCACTGCATTTTAAACTTTTTGAAAATGCAGAAAGCCTCACTAAACCTAATGGTCACAAAAGTAATATTGAGAATTCAAAGTCACTAGCTGATTTTTTTAAATTGGATTTCAAAATGGTTACCAATGATTCTCCACCTATTGTATTCTTATTGAATAACAGCTTTGCTTAATAAGGTTAATTAATGTAAATCGAAATCCAGCTTCCCAATCAAAATTGCAGTCACACCAGCACAAGAACTTTGCATTAATATCATATTCAAACCTCCAAGGACTATAAGAGCTACTCTTGGTTTCATTAGTGTGATCTTATCAGCAACAAAACGTTTTACTCATTTTGTCATATTCAGAGGGTAGTATTTTCTAACATCTCTGGGCCACAGGGTACCTTAGCAGATTCATATGGAGTCTGCTAATGCCTTGGTCACATTTGCTCCGATTTACCCTACGGAGCCTAGCCGATTGAGTATTTTGTTCAAAATTGTTTGCAATATTGAGCAAAACACTCAATCGGCCAGGCGCCGGCCAATGGATCGGAGCAAATGTGACCCAGGCATAAGCTATGAATATGGTTATATGGTTTTCTCACCTGCTCCTGATATTGCCAAAACTGAAGGTCACTGTCGTTATCAAGGTGACAATTAATGGCCATTATATCAGGCATGGCCTTCAGACATTTAGACTGCACATGGGGCTGATATTTCTGACATTTGTTACACCAGGCCTGTGTGGTCTGTTCACTTGACATAGAATTCTGTAGTACTTGACTGAATGTTGTTGGCTTCAGATTTCCTTCACCTAAAATTGTGAGATGTAATATGATGCATCTTACATATTACATAAATCAGGAGCTACATGTATTTTGGAACTGGCTTCTTTTGTTTCTATCTTGGAGATAAAGTAGTAAAAACTGTACTTGGAATAACTACTTGTTTGGCAAACGCTGTTCTTTGACTCACAGAAAGACAGATTTTTGTTTCAGTATATTAAATGAATTAAAAAGAGATGCAACACCCCTGAAGATAATCCACCAAAACTTAATGCCAGAAATCCCAATAACATTGCAGTGATGGGCAAACAGCAATTAATGAAAATTGAAGAACTGAGTTTTCGGTCTTTTAACAATGAACAGAATTAAATTTTCGGTCATATATTACACCATAAATCATAAAATCTCGGTCTTTATTCCTTAAGTGATACGTAAGCGCAATCAACAGACCCAAATTGTGATTTTTACCTGAGGAATCATAGTATGTGAGGCTGACAATTGTAGACATTGTCTCTCTTAATGTCTCAACCCCACAGCGACATCTGAATGTGTTCTTCACTTCCATGCCAAACAGCTTACTGATAATAGAGTCCTCACTCTCACTGGAAGCATCAGAATGGGTAATGCATACTACAGGGTGGTCCAAAAAAAATTGGAACATTTGTTAATTGAACACAAAATCTTTATTTTTTCTCTAAAATGCACCAAAACTTTACTGAGAAAAGTTCAGTCACTTTTCTATCTGATGTAAAGTTTATAGTGGCATACAACAAAGTTAATGCATTAAACTAGTCAATGCTTGATATGACCCCTCTTTTCCTGAATTACAAGTTGAAGCTGGGGCTCAGATTTGTAAATATTCAATTAATTTGCTGTTCGTTTGTTTTGTCCAAGCAATCTTGACTAAAAAAAAATCAGTTTGATCAACCTTCCTATTTGTTTGCCTTGGAAGATCAAATCTAGTAAAATATTCAACATTTTTTACCCAAATTGATGAGTATCAAGCATATTCTGATGGCTATTTTTGGATATATTAATGATTGAATATTTTCCAGAAAGAGGTCAGGGCAGTCTGATTTGACTGGTTAATGAAGCCGGTGTAAAAGGGTAGGAGGTCCTATCAAATTATGGTCCTACTTTCCATTGATTTATATGGTGACCTAAAAACAACTCTTTCCCTTATTATCGTATCCACAATCAGGGCCAGTAAGGGCCTTTAAGAAAGGGGACCATAATCCCCAGGGGACCATAATTTCTTTTACACCGGCCCTCCCTTTTATTGTTCTGATATGAATAATATTCATTGGATATATCAATATGTATGTCAGTATCATAGGAGTCTCCAATAACACAGATGATAATTATATGTGCTTAGCGTAGGTTTTTGATAAAGCTTTGTGAATAACTGGTCAGTTTTGCCTTTACTGAAAAGTGGGAACAATGCTTTTGATCATTTTTGGTATTGTTTAATTTGGTATTAACACAATATTTTTCTGGTAACCCCAGATGTAAATACCTCTTGTCAACTGAATATGATTTTATAATATGTTTATAGCAATCAACATGTTCATTAAAGCTTTGAAATAAAGAATACTTGAAAAAGTAGCGGCGAAATTGACATCTGTATATTTAAGAAAAGGGGGTCCTATCCAACATTGACTGGTTTAATGCATTAACTTTGTGATTTTCACCTATAAACTTTACATCAGATAAATAAGTGACTGAACTATGCTCAGTAAAAGTTTGGTGCATTTTAGAAGAAAAATAAAGGTTTTGCGTTCAATTAACAAATGTTCCAATTTTTTTTGGACCACCCTGTATATTAAACATGTGCAGACCATTAGCCAGCTTTTACCAATGGGATTCACTTTTCATAAAATTCCAGTGAGTTCACATATGACAACTGTATGGCTCAAAATCGCTTGAAAGGTGCTCAAAATGGTAAAAAACTGCATGTTTTTGAAGGAAATCTTGGTCAGGTGTAAACATGACTAGATATGACACCCATACATTGTATGCTGTACTTTTTTATTGATACATTGTACCCAATGTTGTCAAATAATGAAAATACAAACACCTACTTCTTGGGTGTGTCTCCTATGTTAATATTGAGAGTATCAGAGGATGTGGAGCCTCTGGTGTTGTTCAGTTCCCCATCATCACCTGCCTCTTCTTCTTTATCTTGTGTTTCCTGAAATAACTCACAGGTGTTAATTTCATTTTAAAAACTGCATCAAGAGTTAAATTGAATCCAATAAGTGCTTTTCCTCAAACCAAAATGATAAGGAATGCTGAACAAGGTGTTAACATGCAAAATGTCACAACATACCACTTGTTACATGCATCAACTGCTGAACGCCTAACACCACCCACAAAAAGTTGGAAACTACAACAATATGTCACCACTTCTGGTAGTGACACCAAAATTCAAGATGGAACCCACAAGGAATCTAAGGTCTGATTATCTGATTATTTCAATGTAGATATACAGGGTGTGTCAAAAAAACTTAGTTCTTACCCGTTCTTGTCAGTCTTACGAAAACGTCGTAAAATGAGCTCAATCATTTTAAAAACTGCATCAAGAGTTAAATTGAATCCAATAAGTGCTTTTCCTCAAACCAAAATGAAAAGAAATATTGAACAAGGCGTTAACATGCAAAATGTCACCACATGCCACTTGTTACATGCATCAACTGCTGAATGCCTAACACCACCCACAAAAAGTTGGAAACTACAACAATATGTCACCACTTCTGGTAGTGACATAAAAATTCAAGTTGGCACCCACAAGGAATCTCAGGTCTGATTATCTGATTATTTCAATGTAGATATACTGTACAGGGTGTGCCAAAAAAGTTTGCAACTTTATATGATACTCACTGCATGCACTTGTTGAAGGATGAATCTGTTCCAACTCTGTATAAGACGAGGGAAGTTCACTTTCCCCTGGATCTCTTCAGCATCTCCCAGTACCAAACCAAGAGCTGAGGCCTCTGGGATTGTCCTGAATGCTCGCAGAAAATTACTGGCCTATAAACAAGAAACTATTGTGTGACATAATGTCATATTGAACTCATCTCTGTTGTTTACTAAACTGCTGGCTGGTAACTTATTTTTCTTTAAAAAGTCTGATTCAACAATTATGAATACTGATTTTTAATTATTGAAAGTTTATCAAAAATCAATGTAACACAAGATGGACTTTGACCCCCTAAATAAATCCATTGACATCTGAGGATATTATAGCATTATTACATGATGGAGATATGATATATCGAAATATCACTTAAAGGAAAACAGATCACACGAGGCAAAGCATTCAGTCAGGAAATATTGATATCATCATTGTGATATTCCCCATATCAAATCCCTCCAGGTGAATAACTCCTTTTAATACACCTTCACAGTTCCATACCTGACATGTCTGGCCTTTCTGTAAGTCCAGCATATGGAATAGCATCCCTAGCTCACAAGACAGACAGAACTCTTTGTCACATGTATGACTTAACAGGTAGCATCGTAGTGGCTCCACAAAATACAGAGCCTACAAGTCAAAAGTCATTTATTAACAATAGGCCTATTCTTAAGTTTTTTTCACTTTAGCTTCTTCATACAGAAAGAGTCCAGATCAATACCTGTAGTCATACTTCACATAGAACATACAATTTTCAATACAAATAGATGGAACCAAAGGAAATATGTTTTATTGTAATTTATTGCTTGCAGGGATGACAATAATACATTTAAACTGTGTAATAATTCTATGCTAGCTTGATATATGGATCTGTATGTGTTTCATGTATTATGTTTATGTAAGAAAACGTAATAAAAATTAGATTTTAAGTTGTTCTTTTACCTGCAGCATTGAATTGCAGTAAGCATTGGGAATGTGTGTCTCCAGTCCAGCAAAGTTTGTTTTGTTATAATGCCTGAAGTCAAAGTCTTCTACTCCAAGCTTGGAGTATTTGATCTCTACTTGTCGATAACGTTTTGGCACCACAACAAATGGATCATCCCCTGAAACAAAAATGAAAAACAAAAAACATGGAGATGTGTACACACAGAAAATATGCATTAATATACAAGGTTGTCCTCGCCTTCAGGTAATCATCATAATAGATTTTATTGAAAGTTTGATCAGATTGACAACCACTCACTCATATACGAGGGGTGATCAATAAGGAATGGACGCTTTTTTACACAGATACTTTTTATAGACCAATCCCTTTGATTTTCCTACCATCATTCAATTATCTATCAATTCTCAAGATTTGAAGACAAAATATATAATACATATTGATATATCCTTATTTCCACGAAGGAGGTACAGGTACCCCAGGATCACCCCTCGTAAGCTGACAATGTGCTCCCTGGCACACTATTGTGCGTGGTGTGCGGGAACATAAATAAACAAGGCATTAACATGCAAAATGTCACTAACTACCATTTGTTACAGACACTTAACTACAAACACCAATGCTGAATGCCAGATGCCAAACACACTCCATTAAAAAATGTTGGAGGCTTTAACAATATGTAACAGCTTCTGGTGGTGACATAAAAAATGATATTGACATTTCTTATTAGATTGGTTCATAGTGGTAATTGTATTTGATTTATAGGAGTTTGAGTTAAGTTTTTCCCTATGTTTTAAAAATCTTATCCAACTTACCTCTACCCATGGGGGAGTCTGGTACAGTAGATCTGTTCTTACTGCTATCTGTTTTATTGTCACTCTTGTATGGCATTAGGTTACGTATACGTGTACCAGGGATGTTGGGGGCATAGCCACTGTTACTGCCTGGTATCATTTTAACAAATTGTAACAACTGGCTGTCTATAGGCTTAGCTATTCTGTTAAATACAAATTATCAATTTCTGAATATCTGTTGATAATGTACATAGCATATCTACTGTTACTGCCTGGTATCATATCAATTTGTAACTGGTTGTCTATAGGCTTAGCTATTCTGTTAAATACAAAAATACCAAATAGGTAAATTCTGAGTGTGTGTGTGAAAAGGTGCGTATTATAGCCACTGTTACAACTGGCCACTATCATGTCAACTGTGTGCAAATTACTAATTGCCATGCAATGTACCCAGAAACTGAAATTCATTAAAATAAAATACGAAAAAAATGTCCTCTATAGAATCATCTTTACAGCTGCGTGTAATTGTTTCCATTACTCCTTCCCATGATGTATATGAACTACACAGGCCCGTAGCCAGGGGGGGTTCGCAGGGTTCAGGCGAACCCCCCCTGGCCAAATTTTCTGTCAAAATCATGCAGTTTTTGAGCACTTCTCTAGTGATTTTAGCCTAATTTTGGCCAAAATTGTCAAATGTGAACCCCCCCTGGAAATTTTTGAAAATTGAACCCCCTCTTGGCAAATCCTGGCTACGGGCCTGCTACATATAAAGCTTCCTGCTTTAATCTAATCTAAATAAATAACAACATACCTGTATACTCTTTGACCAAGGTGTTCTGGCCAGTCTGAGAACAACTTCCCAGTTGAAGGGTAGAACATAGGGACACTAGCCAAAGATGCATGCTCATCTGTTATGGGGATAGGGTCGATGTGGTTTGGCTAAAATGTACAAATGTATTAATATAGGGCATATGGGTTACAATAAAACGCACATTTACATTGAAACCTGTGAAAGTGGAACACCTCTTGGAATGGAACACCTCTGTTAGTGGAACACTTCAGAGTCCAAAGAATTAAACTTACTAAATGTTAAATAAACCTCTATAAGTGGAACACCTCCTAAGTGGAACACCTGGTACAAAATATGTTCCACTTAGACAGGTTTTTCTGTACATGTACATTTTGGGATTTTTAAATTGGCGAAAATTAGCACATTTATATTTAATGAAGACAGACTTATCAGTTTGTGTATCTGTGTGCTTAAATGTTGCCCCTTGCATCTTACTTTGAGTCAAAAAGTGACAAACATATTGGCTCACCCTGTATCTTATATTACATGTTATTTAGACCATCATTTATGCTTAAGTGAACTTACAGGTTGTGGGAATTCAGTTGGTGTAGAGTAACTGTTGTATGTGGCTTCAGGAGTGCTAGAGTAAAGGTGTAAGAATCCTGAAAGAAACGGCAAGTATATGCATATTATGTGTATACATTGTAGTATACACTGCAATATACAGGTTGGCCCAAAAATGCCAAAGAGTTCCTTCAAAACATTTCTAAAACATAATTTGTATTAACTGTATATTTGAAAAAAAGTCATAGTAAAAAACAAACATTTTGATGATTTTAAAATGTTTTGATATTTTGCTGTTTTTAAGCTTGAATTTTGGTTTCAAAAAAGAAATCCAAAAATTACATTGTTCACTAATTGATTTTAAGGAAAAGTAAGCTGGGTAAAACATTGAGCACAGAGAGCCAATATATGTCAAAAATAGTTATCATACCCCCAGCATCAGCAAAACACATGGACTGATATGTTGAGGCAACCTCAAATGCTGTACACATCTGTCCCATAGTATCTATCTGGAAGATCTCCCCTGTTGGCTGGCTACCAGCCTCCATCATTTGGTACTGCCCCATCTAAATGAGTATATAAATTACATCTATGTAAATTATCAATTTCATAATGAGGCCCTAGCTCCACAATTTTGCGTTTGAATTTGTTCACATTATCATAATACAATTAAGAAACATTAATTTCGAGATTTTAACTTTCATATCCAACATGAGATTTTTTTCTTTTTGAGGGAAACAATAACAGGAAAATTTGTCTATTAGAGCCAACTACCAGGCATCAACTTTAAGTAAGAGCATTTTTATCAGAACTTCTGAACCAGCCCTTGTATAATTTGGACTTCAAGGCGTTTACAGTATTACTTACTGGGGACACTACAACCAATCTGCTGGAGTATGCAGGGATAAACCTCACAAATATTGGGTCATACATCATCTGCACAGGGCCTAGGGCTCTCATCATTCTAAGATCATAGGTCATCAGAAACCTGTCAACTGCCATATTACCCATCCTAAAATGTACAAACCAGAGAAAGAAAGTTTGGAATTACAGGAATTTGAACAATGAACAAGGTACTTGAACTGGATTGAAATTGATATTTGATTACATGTATGTATATATATATAGACACATTGAAATTCTATTAGTACATTGTTCCTTCATTCATACTCAGCATACAATAAAGCTCAAAAAGCAATGTGAAGTAAAGTTCATGTTTAACATGGGAAGAGAACCAGATAACATGCAAGTAAAACAAGGCATTAACATACAAAATGCCACAACCTGCCGTTTGTTACAGATGCCAAATGTGGGCCGCCGGCTGCCAAATGCGGTCCACAAAAAAGTTGGAGACTATAACAATATTTCACCACTTGTGGTTGTGACGTAATAAAACGAGCTGTTTACAAGACCACACCGTAATATGATTTTATCACACTATATTACACACCTGCTTCCAAATCCACATGTAACCAGCATGTTACCATGGACATCAAAGTCTGACAATGACGCAGAATGTGCCTCGATTACATTCAATGTGTCCCAGGCTCTATCATCTCTCAATGTCACTCGTCCACTTGAGTCGCCAACATATACTACGTTCTTTAGTTGTCGCATGATGGCACAGCCAGGCTCACTGACTTCAACCTTAAATACAGTGAACAGCTCTCTCTAGTGAACACATGAATTAAGTGAACACCACATTAAGACATATATTACATTGACTTCTGTATAAAATCGTATCTCTGTTATGAACATGAATATTTCTTCCTGTTTGACTGTATATGTAGTTTGTCATATATTATGAGGTGAATATTTCAATCTGTTTGATTAGTAGAAAAGTTATATTTGATGAAGTGAATATTTCTACATGTTTGATTGTCTTACCTGAGTTTAAAGAAGACAAAAGGTTATATTTAATGAGGTGAATATTTCTACCTGTTTGATTGCTTTGCCAGTTGTAAGGTCAAGGTTGATGAGGCGGGTATGATGACCACCTAAGAGCAGAGATGTGGGGCTCCTGACTAACATACACTGCATGTCATCAACATTTTCACCCCTAAAAGTACATTATGCATTAACACGGTCCCGTTTACACCGTTCCCTATTAGTGGTTTTGTTGCATTAATACGGAATAAATAACACCATTTCATGAAAAATGGTGACCCTGTCCTACGGAAATTGTCCTACGGAGTTTTCATGAAATGGTATGATTTATTCCGTATCAATGTCAACAAAACCACTAATATGAAATGGTGTAAACGGGACCGTGTTAAGTAAACTGTTGGAACGTTATTTTATTCCAATGTCAATTGATGAAAGACATATTTTATGGAATTTAAGAATTTTAAAAAATAAATAATAATGTCTTGTGTCACTTTAAGCTTTATTTTTCAATTTTAGAAATTTCAACTTTCATACCTGAAATCAAACACCGTTCTACCTTCTTTAACAGAGCACCTTAATTGATCTTTAGTAAGTGCAAGTACACGACCCTCTAATGAAGCCATCTGGCGTATTGCATCTGTAGCGTGGATGTGGAAAGATGTGTATTTCTGCATATGCTGGCCATGGTAGGATGTTATATGCCCCTGAAATAAGTTATTAATGACATTTTATATTGCCAATTCATCTTATTTCTAAGTAGAACATATCTAGATTGAAAAGTGAATGCATGATAGTGTAGGTATCTAGGAGTGTATTCAACATGTATCACCTGAGCATGTTAAACCTATTTAATGTGGTTTGCATACATGTACCTTCTGTTTCTATGTATGAGTAAAATTGCTGTAATATTTAAAAAATTAACAGTTGAAGCATTTCATTGTTAATATTTACACTTGCAAATTCTTATGTCTTATATGGGTTTATAATTTTTCATGTATTTTTAATTTCATTTCTAATGGGTATTTCAATCTTTTCCCTTGCCTCTCCTGATCCTGACCAAAGAAGTTCCTCATGTGTGTCAAAATGTAGAGTAGAAACACCAAAGTGGTTGCTGCGATCAGCCATCAATTGCTGCACCAATTGGTATTCCCCTCCATCATGAGCTATAAATAAATATTAGGATAGTATATAGTACATGTATTGTATATTAGGATTGTATTCAGGGTAACAGGGTGATCCCATTGGTCTAAATGCCTATGGTCAGAATCCTCTTGGTCCAAAACCCTTTCATCCAAATCCAAATGGTACGAAACCCAATTGTTCAAATCCTAATGGTCCGAATCCCAATTACCCAAATCCCATTGGTCCAAAACCAAATCATCCAAATCCCAATATGATCAATCAGACCAATTTGATTTGGACCATTGGGATTCGAACCAATGGCATGTCTTCAGAGTAATGACCAGGGTTTTTATAGATAGAAGCTAAAAACTAGCTTTCTGAGATATGTAAGTAGTTTATTAGTTTTTTATATAAAAAATGAATGATTTTTATTTATAACATTGAATTGTTGACATTTGATTGCTGTAGGTTTGATTGACTCACAAAAAATCGGACTGTAGAAATACTCATAAATACTTGTAAAACTTTACAACTCACCTTGACTGTTGTACATAGCAGGAACATTTGGGTCAACATACTGATTGCTGAACTCCATTGTCTAAAATATAAATAAAATATGAAATCAACAGAGAACTTATTTGATATTAGGTGACTCAATAGCTTTTTAATAATTTTTTTATGCAACTTATTTAATATGTAAATACGTTAAAAATGATCCATGAATAATAGGAAAATAAAGATATAATAATAATAATTACATGGAAAACTGCAAAAAATGATTTTGTAAATTATCCAATATTTCCAATAGGATCAACAGAAACATTTAACTAGATGATCCTGTTGACATTGAGATTAACAATTGGACCATAAATAAACATTGAAACATCATTTACAGGTAACACTGTATCAATGAAAAAATAATTGGAAATTGAACGGTTAAGCTGTGTTGTTAAAACTGGCATAAACTGAACGTAAAAATCAAATCCCTCCAAGAAGGTCCCAGCCCTGTTTTCAGTAGTCTGTACATGTATCTGTCTATGGGCAATAAAGAGAAAGCCCATGATCTGTCAGACTGACTTTTGGTCTGTCAACCTTACATACATGTACTGTCCTGTGGAAATTACAGTGAAATTCTATGCACAAAATTATCGATTTGAGGAAGCATTACTTCACAAGAAAAAAACATTGTAACACTTCAATTAGGTAGCAAGTAAGGTACATGTACAATAAAATGCTTAGATTTAGAAAAATTTAGATTTGGACTTAGAAAGTAAAAAATATGCAAATTAAATTTACTACAACAGCCATTTGAAGAACAATACCTAAAGTAAACAAATGTTTTGCAAATACCAAATGTTAACATATAAGACGTATACTCAGATATTTTCATCCTATTTTCATTTCAATTTTCAGAACAATAGCAATAGGATATATAGTCGAGACAGGCTGAGTATTGGCAATTTTTTTCAAAGTTGCTTTGAATTGATTGAAGGTGGTTGTGAATTTTCAACCAGTCTGTGAAATTCACTTGGAGAGAAGTGAGCAAGCAGAACATAGGTAAATACCAGCCCTGTATATTGAATTGATTGGATGCCGAGGACAAATTCAGAGATGTTTGTTTAAATCCAATTGTTTGTGGTGCTTTAATGCCACCTTTTGTAGTCTCTGGTGCTCGTCTTCACTTTGTAATATCACTGATGTGGTTTACATTATTGTTTTGTTACTAAGAGTTTATTTTATCTTTAACTTGAAGTCCTTATCTACATTTAACTAAAATCTTTTGCTTTTTATGATGTAGGACCATAGTACATCATACAGCTTTCTATCCATGTTCTTGTTTAGTGTTTGGTTTTCTCTAGCCAGTGTTTTCAAGTCAAGTGAGCCAAGTGCACACTTATTTTCACTTTCCAGAAGTGTGCAGTTTGCATCATATAGCATTTTTCCCTTAGTTCTTGGAGTTAGTTGCAGATGGGAGCATTTTAGTTTTTGCAAAACAATTTTGAAAACTAGACTACTACTTTTTTCAAGGCCTGACTGCGTTGCTAACATGCTAAATATAAGAGTTAGCTGACGTTTGGGAGTCTGACTTACCTTCTAAAGGTTAGAACCCGAATCTTAATGAAACCATATCACCTTTGTTCCGTCAACCATATAGCATTTGCCACAACATCCAAGAGGTAAATCATGGATCGAGAAAATGAATGTTTTCCTTGTAAGTTCCGGAAGTTTCAATACGAAAAATTACCGAACATATGTGAAAACTGAATATTTGTTCGTTGTTATCACGATTTACAGGTTCGTTTGTTCTTCAATGTTTTGGTCTAAATTATAAAGCATCACCAACAGGTCTTACTCTATTAATCGACTAATACAGCAGACGGCTCATATTTCTACGTAGCATTTCATTCAGACCAATAGTGGGAGTGTAGATCACGCAGTTTCGTTCGTTGCGTACTTCACTTGAAATTGGTAATTTTAAATATTGACTACTTCACTTGCTTGGCGGATGTAGAACATTGCTTAATATTCTTTTAATTTTCACACCAGACATGCTTGGTTGACACGTCAACAAAGTAAAGTTCAAGGGTCAATGCGTTATTTCGTGATAAGTGTGATAACCCAACAGATTTACTTTCTTGTTTGCTGATATTCAGTAATGTCAGTTCGATGTCTCACCACTGTTGGGTTTCACTTAATGTTGTTTATATACTCACATACATGTTTAGATCGTTATTATCCACTAAAGTGTCATATTCTAGTAATTTGTGGATATTGTTGGTCCCGTTCGTACTTTTGGCGTAATTCTCGAACTATTCTTAGTTCCGTTCGTACTTTTGACGTAACAAGGTCAAAGGTTACTGTCGTAGTTTTCTGGTCTAAATTTCACCCTGTTAACTATGTTTTATCATAAATCTAGTAGGATATGCACTTAATACGTAAATTAAGCTCTCTATAGGTAGTTTAAACTTAGCAATCAGTCCTGTATTGGCGAAGCTATGGCCGTTTTTGTGGATTTACATAAGTTCGTAATTTATGTCGGTCGCTGCGCATGCGCAGAAGACAGGTAGCCATCTTATGTTTTTCGAGTAAATCGTTCGTGATTTGCTCCGCTATCTTCACTCAAAATGTCGCTATCGTTGACCGTCGAGGTGTCTAAACTGTCTCACGATTTACACCAGTAAGTCGTCCGTCCACATGAGGTGATTACAACAGGATTTGCACGAAGTCTGACCCCCGAATCAGGCTTGAAGTTTGAGGTTCACCCCTCCCGCATCACTTGCAAATGTCAGCACGTCTGTCAAATGGCGAACCACATATACCACCAACCACCAACCACTCATATGCTGATGCAAATACCTCATGTGGATGGACACCCTACACCTCATTTCAAGCTGTAAGCACTCTATGTATACCGAGTGTGGTGAAATTGGCAAGTATTACATTTAGATTTTGATTTGACTTGTTAATGCAAAAGCACATTGGAATTATTTGACCCATATTTGGTTTACATGGTTGATGATCAACATACCCAGTTTGATCATGTCAGTTTATCTCATTGTTGATGATCAATACCCAAATTGATCATGTTTTGGTACACTGCAAACTACCCTGTGCAGTTGTATGTTACGTAATGTCTCGCTTGTATATAGTCGGCTTATGGAGTTCAAGTCTTACTGTTGGGCAACAGTTAGTATCAGATAGATGATGGTGTTGAGTTAAACCCTGATGGAACCCTGGTTTATGGTCTAGCCTGATACTAGTTTTGAACTTGAACTGTTCTATTGTTTATCGATGGTTGGAGTGTCAGTTTTATTGTATTGTTGTGTTAAGGTTGTACTATAATTTATATACTGTATGCATGTATGGCTTTCTCCAAAGCCACCCTAGGGAGATACAATTTGTTGCACCCAATATTACCAAAGGGAATACAAGTTGTTGCACCCAACCTTATGTTGTGTCTTGGAATATTATAAGTTGGTGATGTACTACTACCAACTTGGGTCTACAGGTTCACTTATGTTCATGATTGATCACTTACTACATAACATGCACCCACTTGTTACATAGCATGTACCCACATGATGTGTAATCGCACCCATATGTCATGTAGCACGCGTCGGCATGTTTCATAGCAGGCGCCCACTTGTTGCGTGACATGTATATCCATGTCATGTGATTGCACCCACATGTTATATGACATTAATTTTCCTAGCATGTTACATAATGAGCAGTCATGTAAACATTGTTATCACTAATTGGTATGTTGAATCAAATGTTGTACAAGTTATTGTTATAGTCATTATTTGGTATGTTTCACCCAAGCTTGTGAATACGTAATGTTACGTTGATATTTTTAGTCAGTCTTACATTTTGTCAGTGGTTGTCATTGTCAAAGGTTGTTGCAAAGTCATGGTAATACATATTGCTATGTATGTTTATTTGGTCACCAGTTGTGTCACACACTCTCCCAGATGAAAGTATTGTATGTTATATGTTTAATGTAAGATTTATGAATATGAGCTCAATAATGTGTAATTGCAGTATCAGCTTCTTGGTAATTATGTAATCTTACTTGAGTATGTATTGTACTTGATAGGAAATACTATGTATATTATCGTAACCACATTTCAGGGATCTTAGTTGCATAACGATCCACCTTTGTGCATTATCCTTGAATATGGGTACCCGTTGCCATTGAGTAACGCTGCACCATATATCATCCATGTGTCACAATATCAGAACTTTTATTCATATATATATTTCCACACTATGTGTGTTATTGTCATAATTACTATACTCACTTTGTAATCACATTGTAAATAAACCCATAATCATGTTTTCATTTATATTTAAACTAAATCATCTGTTTTGTCAGTTAGGTGTATGTTTTATGTCGCAGTGCGACATATTCAGCCATTTTGCCATTCAACCAATTATGTCTATAAAACCCTTAAGAGCGCATACAATCACAACACGGACCCGGTAATAATGTGACGATTCTTCCACTCACTCATAAACCCTTTAACGCTACCACTACCCTTTGCGCTTACCAAGCAGAGTGAGGGTCGTTACATAACTACAACGCCTTCCCGGAAGTCAACATTGATGAAAAATGAAAAAGTCGGAAAAGCATTTACGCTAATTTCTATCAAATGCTATGTTTATGCATCATCATCGACGCAACAAAGGTGATATGGTTTCATTAAGATTCGGGTTCTAACCTTTAGAAGGTAAGTCAGACTCCCAAACGTCAGCTAACTCTTATATTTAGCATGTTAGCGACGCAGTCAGGCCTTGAAAAAAGTAGTAGTAAAATTCGAGGGCTAAATTCTGAAATTGAAAATCAAAATTCATTGAGAAATGTAGCATCATAAGACATATGGAGTCGTTCAAATTGAACTTTAGCATATGCATACTTTACAGTACGTCTTTTGCGAGCAAAGAATACGCAACAGATACAACAAATACGTTGAATAATTTAAAATTGAACTTACCATTTTTATTTACTGGTTAAGAACGGGACGTTTCGTTTTCCCCCTGATTGGACCCGCGATTAGAAAAGCCACATGGTTTATTTTCACATGATTTGACCCTTGGAAATGGAATAGTAATACCATGAAAGTTTGGTGTTTTACTCGAGAGATTTTGTGTACATATAAGTAAATATATTAATTATAAAAATTGTCAAGGATAAGTCGCTGCATTATGTATTTGTGCAGAAAATACTAAAATTTTGAAACGGTTACGAGTTAAAATTTTCTAGTCGCCATTTTTTATTGAAATTTTCAAAGTCAAACTTCTAGTGCTATATTCGTCGTGTACACGCAAATTCTGCAATATCTGTTGTCGGAAAGACCTAACTTCGATATCTAGACATGTTACATTGGAAATAAAATCAGTTTGTATTTAGTTTTTTTTAGATTTGTAATCTAGAACTACAGTAGTCTAACTCTAATATTTTCCACAAAAAATCATAAATATTTTCAATTTTATGCATAGGCCTATATAGATAGGAATTGAATATACTGTATGAAGCATATTTCTAATGTTATTTCAGCTAAAATTGGGTTTCAATAAATCACTAGAGAGCCTAGACACATCATGCCATAAGGTCAGGTCAGACCATTAGGATTTTCTCTAGCTCCCTAAGGATTTGGACCACAAGGCGGGACCACACCTGGCATCGGGACATGTAGAATTGACCGAAATAAATATCTCCACTGCCCTCCACTCTATGTGTACCAAGGAAAAAGAGAGTGAGGACCCTGTCGAAAAGTTTTGTAATGTATAACTGTTTCGTATGAATCGATGTCGGTGAAGGTCATAATGTCTGTTTCGTATGAAACGGTGAAGGTCATATTGCATTGGGACAAATTTGTCTTGTCCAAAGTGGGCCCCTGTAGGCTACACATGTAACTCAGTGTATGCATGCAAACTTTCTTTGCTCCATGTATGATGTCTATATTATCTCTTCTACTCCCTTACCTCTATTTGTTTAGTGGCTTTAGTTTGTCAAATCTCTGTGACAGAATTGCCATCCTCTTAATCTATAAGTATTAGTCTATCATCACGGTGGGGATTGTCATCACGTGACCTTCGTAATTGATGGTGTCTGAACAAGCTGTACGATTTTCTCGATTAAGCCAGATAAATGAATATTTTTCATATTTATATTTTGTTAACAGCGTCAAATTTCTCCCCACTTATGTATACTATCTCAGTCTTTCAAATGAACCTAAATTGACAAGCAGAGGACGCATATTATTTGAGATATGACTGTTTTTCGTTTCGAAATATGATGGTGTCTGAACAACTTTAAAATTCTGTATGATGGTGTCTGTACAAATTTTTTGAATACACGACATGGATACCAGTCCCCATGTTTTCATGTGTAATTGTTTATTATTATCATACGATGCATTCCCGTACTCTCGTATATTCAAGGTTTTGTATAAAAACCTAGTACCTCGTACCCACGTCCCGACCCACGTACGTGGGGCATGATACAGTCTTTGAAGGGTTCAATTTTTTAAATATAAGATCATTCAATCTTCGTCTATGCTGAATTGTAAATGCATTAGTGTACGTCGAAAAAAGGCGAACGCATTCCGTTCGGAGTTTTCACGCGAGTTTAGTTTTTATGGTCCCTTTATTTAAACAGTCTTAATATACAGCAAAAACAGGGCCTAAGCCAAAGCATTATTGGCACTGTGGGTAACAGCATTTGAATTTACATAAAAGATGGCTCTCCTGTTTGGAGAAATGAACTGATTGTTTTGACTCATCATAAATACATGTTATTTTAGACAATTTATATTATCTTACAAAGAAAATCTGTAAAAGATTTAAAAACTAGACCTTTAATAGAATTATTCAATGAAATGTCATCAAACGCGAGTTCCGTATGTCACGCATTTGCTTTGAAATATGTGTATATGTCGAGCATTTTCTTCGAAATATTTTGTACCATTTTGGATGTTGACAATACTCGTGCTACAAATGTACAAAGTGGATTAAGAATATAACTATACAATTGAATAATAACTCAAGGGAAATTGGTAACCTGCCTAGAATGTCAAGATAAGGCTGTCCCAAGGTTAAGAAGGAGCATTATACCCAGCTCATTTGAAAGAATAATTGACTTAACATCAGGATATCATCAAGTCGATACATGCTGATATCCATATGCTAAGTCAATGGAACCAAATAAAATAAAACAAAAAAAATGAAATGAAAATCAAAGGTTAAGGTCAAAATTGTCCTTTGCAACATTCTTTATCATAATTTCACATTTTAAATTTTGTAAACGATGATTTTGCACGCAAGATTCTTTTATTATCAGATATGCACTGACTTGACCTTTACAAGGTCACTATGGCCTCAAAAACACTTAGGATGCACCTGAACACTATGCCATAATTAACCCCTTACATACTAAATACCATATTATGTCATAATGGTCATGAATGACCTGGGGGCAGTTTTATATACTTAGTATGACGGATCCTTTATCTATTAATGCTCGTTCACTAGAAGCAATATTCACTAAAATTGTCATGTCACGTTTTTCATTTGCTGGGGACTTCCAGGAAGTCGTCTTTAAGGTGTGACTATATTGCCACATTTAGGTCGCATTACAACCTTGTCTTTATGGGTGTACTACTCTCCCCGTCATCCAATTCGGAATAACCATCCACAATTGAGCAAACAATTACACTTTCGCGTGTTGGGATGAATTTACGATCCCCGAGACTAAAATCATCGTTTCCCTTGCTGTGATTAAATAAAATGAAGCACAGAATTCCATTTAGCAAATCTCCATATTAAAACCTAATTTAGCGTAGATTTTCCCTATTGGACGAGCCTTTGAATGGCGCTATTTTTAAAAAATTGATCGGATAATCCTTTAAAGCTTTTAAAATTGAACCCTTCAAAGACTGTATCACGACTCACGTACGTGGGTACGTGGGCATAAGGTACAAGTTTTTTTATACAAAGCCTATATTTAATAAGTTATTATACAATGCAGAAGCCAGACCCTATTAATGTTACATAATTTTGCAGAGCAATTGACTTTAATCAGGACAATGACATCACGAAGAAATCCTGTATTTTGATTGGTCAGATTTCTCTGGCCTCTCAAAAGGTGACTGGCTTTACTGAATAATCTTCTTCGTTCACTCGGCTCCCGTCGGAAGTAACGCATTGAAGACCGAGCGTGCGAAGATGCTGAATAATACCATCCCTGGGCAGTCTAAATCGATTGATGGATTCATTTTATATTGTTTTATTCAAGTACATCAAGTAATCTTTTGTAATATTGGATAAATAACGTCTGATCAAATAACTTAATCGCCCAGTTTCTGGTGACAATACACGATGTATCTAAATTCCTCTGATGGATGATTGTCCCACACATGATTTGCAAATCGTTCAGTGAATGTTGGAAATTCAACCAATGGATGGCAGTGATAACAGGCAAATAGTGGTGGGACTCGTGTGAATTATCCTACTCGAGTAGAGGCTCTTGAACACTCGATTTATTCGCGATTAAAATGAATGATTTTGGAAAAAAAGTTCAGAAAAACTTTCTTCGGAAAGTTACAAACTTTCACTTCCGGTAGCAATGTTTTCAAGTGTTCTCGGCTCAACCTACCTTGAATAACTCCAACATACCCATCAAATTATTCAAATAGAATAACTCAATACACTTTATATGTTCTTGTTTTGCATTGAAAAGTAAATAATTTAGCAATTTACGCTAATTGGTTTGACCTCGTTAAATATTGCATTGCACATGCGCAACCGGATGTAATCAATAAATAAAAACAAACACGAGAAAGCCTATCGTATTTGATTTATTATTTCAGTTAAGGTATCAAAATACAATGCTATATATTAAGGAAGGCATCATTGCTAAACATTGTACAGAAATGTTGTACATTGGATGTGTTTTTTTTACGTAAATTGCGGTTGAAAGGTGGGTAAATCACATTTTCTTCATCATTTTTTCATTTTTTTTTCAATTCGAGTCAGAATTTACCAATCGATGAATCGTATTTACAGGGTTTGGCGAGTAGTATTCGAGTCCACGAGTCAATCGTTGCTCCACTACAGGCAAACATCACAATTCTAGGTTGATTTCGGTTTAACACATTGGAAAGAAGGAGATGTATTTAAAAAAACACACGAAAACACGAGTAGTAGTGTATTTTAAAATTTGTACAGACACCATCATGCAGAATTTAAAAGTTGTTCAGACACCATCATTTTTCGAAATAAAAAACAGTGATATCTCAAAAAATATGCGTCCTCTGCTTGTAAATTCAGGTTCATTTGAAAGACTGAGATAGTATGCACAAGTGGGGCGGGATTTGAAGCATTTAACAAAGTATAAATATGAAATTTATTCGTTTTTCTTGCTTAATCGAGAAAATCTTACGCCTTGTTCAGACACCATCAGTTGCGAAGGTCACGTGATGACAATCCCTACCGTGATCATAGGGGTCACCTCATTGGTCTAAATCCCATTCATCCAAATCCCAATAGTCTGAATCCCATTGGTCTGAACTTAATTTTAATATCAAGATAAAGATGCTAGAAATGTGTGAACATGGAATACATCACATTGATGTGTGTTTATTGAATAACATACATGTAGATTATCCATTTTGCCATGCTTATTCAAAATATAATACTTTAATCAATGAAATGGCTAGCCTTGCCCAAGTCGGTATTTTTTACTTATCCATAATAGAAATCAGATAGTAAAAAAGAGATCGACTTGGGCAAGGCTATGAAATGGCCAGTGATGATAATTTAAGTAATAAATCAGATGTTCAATTAAAATGTGAAAATAGTAGTAAAGATAGTAATGAAATGGAAAAAAATGAAATTCAATCAGTTGACAAAGGTGCAGATAATATTAACTTTCTTAAAACTCAACATTATGAACTTATTCTTAATCCATAGGGATGGTTAGATGAACAGATAATTAATGCAGCTCAGTCAGTTCTAATTGGACAATTTGAAAATATTTCTGGATTCCAATTAACAAACTATGCTCCCATTTATGTAGCAAATAAAAATATGTTCATTTGGTGTACTCCAATGATTTCAACTAATGGTCCTTCTGTGCAGATTCATCATAATGGCAATTCTCATTGGGTAACTTCACTTCAAGATTCTGATGGCAAAATATATTTATTAGATAGCTTAAATAAAAAAGACATTAACAGTAGTTTACAAATTTAATTAACTCAGATTTATAAACCAGATAGGGTAAACCATTTTGATGTTATTATTCCAGCTGTTCAAAAACAAAATAATGGTTATGATTGTGGCCTCTTCTCTATTGCATTTATGACTGAGTTTTGCTTCAATGGGTTCAATAGGACAAGTAGAGTCGTATTTGAAGAAAAAGAAATGAGATCACATTTGGTATCCTGTTTAACAGAGAAAAAAATTATTCCCTTTCCAAAACAGACTAAGAAAAAATTAAAATTATCCAAAGTTGCCACATCAACATTCCAAGTAAGTTGTTTTTGTCCATGTGGCCAAGCTGATGTAGTACAAGATATGGTTGGCTGTGAGTTTGTGAGTAAAAAGCATGAATGTCAAACATGGTATCATAAAAAATGTTCTAAGCTTAAGAAAGTTTCAAAGAAGATGTATTGTCCTGATCATTAATTGATAGTAGGCATGCTCATATAAGTAGGTTGGCAGGTTACATAGATGTATTTTAAAACTTTTGAATTTAGATTTTAGTATGTTTGGCAACAGGGCAATGCTGTATTATAATATGTCATCTATGTAGATCTCGGTGGATTTTAACATTGTGTATATTTTTAAGTGTATTTTGCAATTCTGTATCTATAATGTATGTATTTATGTATAATGTACATGTATGTATATTTTGAATAAATCATGAAATGCTAATAATATGTTTTTTTTAATCATTTGTAATATGTTGGTTAACATGAACTTTTAATCAGTAACATTTTCAGTAGAGTTCAGCTGATGAGATCTGAATTGATCGAAAGAAAAACTTGATGCATACTTTATCAACAAAAATAAGAAACTTATAAACAAGCAAGAATTGGGTTCATTTCAAATATGATCTTAAATAGGCTACTTTATCAATGAAAGCATCATGTTTTTCTCCTGAACAAGACTGCATATTTGAAATGCATGAGGCAGTTTGATTCCATAATGGACCTTTAATTTACAAACTCAAGTGTATTATTAGAGAGACAAAACTCATATGAATTCATTATAATTTTCCAAAGAATAATATTCAAGCACAATGTATACAAAACTGAACTAAGAAATGTTAGATGAAGCATATTATCTAGGTGGCAAATGACTGACTGATATAGGTGGTCTGTGTGTTATTCAAGCCACTCTGTATTCCTTTAGTTTTTTGCTTTTTAACCTGGAAACTCATCATGCAGCAAAAAACCATGAAGCATGGAAGCACAGTGTGGGCGAATACAAAACTGAACTAAGAAATAGATGAAGCATATTACCTAGGTGGCAAATGAAGGATTGGTATGGATGGCCTTATGATTCATACAATAGGACTTCAGGTGTTCATGTGTTAGGTGGTGTTCATATACGTGAAAGGAGTCAATTTTCCTAGCCTATTATTTGCTCTTAGATCCTGGGCACCATCAGTCATATTAGCGAAAACTTCTGGAATGGGTGTGGTGAGGAATGGATATATCATATTCAATGTAATAAATAATTGTATTGAAGCACATGTCTATGTTACATAAAAAGCAATCTTGATCTAAGAAAATCTTGATAAAGGCTATGAACTCTGAATCACTATCAATAGATGGCAGCACTAATCAAGTAAGCTAAGTTGAAAATTTCCATGATAATTTGACTTGTTTTTGATAAGCTGTTTTTAGGTAATAAACTTGAAGATATGGGAATTATTTTTGCTTTATATTTCAAAGTTAGATGTATTTTTAACATTTCAAATTACTAGGTGTTATAAATTGGGATATTTTATGAGGAATTGATCCTTTTTTCCAACGCCGACCAAGGGTCTAATCCAGGGTTTTGAAAAAAATAGATGAAAATACGGTACGTTTGGTGACAGTTTTCTAAGACATCTGGATATATTTTCCTCAAACCTTCAGATATTATTAAAGATAGTAATGCAATCTGTATGGAGAAGACAAAATTTATTCGAAAAAAGTACATTTTCAATATAAAAAACGCATTTGTTTTCGATATCAACCAAGGGTTTAATCAGGGGTCAGAATCAGGGGTAAAACGAAATGACCCTTAAGAACAGCCATATTGCTCTGAGAATAATTTCGCTAAAGCGCTCATTTATGTTTCGTTCAGAGTATAGCCCAGTTAAGCCCGGGTACTAAGCGTTACCAACTACACGTAGCGCGTAGCCTACGTACGGTAACCATATCATCAGTAGGATCACAGTCCCTCTTTCTTCTAATACAGATATCTAAGATGTTATATCTGTCTATCGATATCATATCATACAATCTGGGCACTCTGAGGGAGAAATCTATAAAAAGGTGAGTTTGAAAATTCGAAGTCTGTCATTGGAATTTTTGTACTGAAGTATGGGTATCAGAAACAACAATAATTCGTTATCTAATGTTGTCTACAGGTTATGCAGTGACATTTATTTTACAGATGAATGATTTTTCTTCAAAATGAGACCCCAATTATAAAATTCTGATCAATAATTTTTATCTTTTTTTTACTTCCAGTTCCCAGAAATGGTGAAGCGTTATCGTCCTAGTGACGAGATATATTGACTCAGATCTGGCATGAAGCATCTCATATCATAGTGCTACAAGTTCCTGTATGTTTCATTTCATATCCGTGAATATTTATTTACTAAAAGTGTGACAAACTTAACAAACAGCTAGTCATAACACTATATTCAGGTAAGACAATTGATGTGTCATTTGATTGAAAGCAATAAACTTCGAGTCACCTTCTGTAGTGTGTTCTGGTAATTAGCAAGAATTAAAAGTTGAGAACATAAGCATCCTTTGCAGATATCACTATCCATTCTTGGTTATTAGATAAACATAGGTTATTTACTGGGAGGGATTGAAAATGGGTTTTATTCCGAGGGACAATATGAAATTGACCAATATGATATTATATTTTAGTTTTTAGGGTGAAAATAACCGGGAAAACAAAAATGGGTTAATACGCTCCCATTCGATTTTTTCCCGAGGACAATACGATTTTTTCATGTAATTACGCTCCAATACGATTTTTCCCGGGGAAATAAAATCGTATTGTCGCTCTCGTTCAAATGCAATGGTTCAAATTCTAGCATTATTGGAAATAATCATTTTCAATAGTGGTGGGACAATTACTTCCTAGCACTAGAATTGCCCCGTCCCACTCTAAATGTCAGTCTAAGTTATTCATCTGTAACAACATTTAACAAGACCCATGTTTTGTATTCATGTAGCTCTTCAGAAGAAAGCTCGCTTGAATAAACATTTATTTATTTGTTGTCATTTATTTGTTGTCATTTAACATGTGCAATATCATTGAAAACAAGATTCATTAAAAAAACATTCATTAAATTCATTAAAAATTCTTGTTTGTTACTTAACCTCTTGAATAAGGGTTTGAAACAAGAGCATTTTTCATTTTGCCAGTTTTTGGATATGTACACGTATGAACACATATAATAACACATAAGAATAGTAAGCATAGACCCATTACAGGGTGTCAAATAAGCCCCGTCCTCCTACTACAGCTAAAACCCTAATAGATGGTACCCACTGTGATATACCATTGGATGTTGCTTAACATGTTTCAGATGTTTGCCAATCAACGTAACTTTGGAAGACCTTTCCAATGATATATCACACTTTATACCATATATATCTTGGTTTTGGCTGTAGAGGGGGTGGGGGCTTATTTGACACCCTGTATATTGACACTCACTCGCTACGCTCGTTCAGTCAATATCATATTTCACTCGGTCAATATCATATAACCCTGGGATAAGATTCATATTGAAAATCAAGCATGAAATAACCTATACCATTTCAAGCAACACAGACAAAAACAGAATAATTTACAAAATAGTTTGAATGGCAAATTGCCTTTTATTAAAATAATCTTACTATACAAAAATCACTATTATGATCACGACAAAACAAAGTTTATCATCATCATCACGAGGCCCGGGGGGGGCTATAGAATATACAATATACAGATATACAAATATTGAGATTGCACAATATGACTGTCTCTCGTCCATCACTCATTTGCTTATCGAGCAGGTACAGCTTCGGCGTTACCAAGTTCACTATCTTTCAATAAAGGATAGCGACCCATGTAATCTTCGTTCAAGTCACTCAGGACACCATCCTCTGTAAATATATAAGCGCAAATGTCAAAAATGGAAAGACCGATTACATAAGAAGCAAAGCAATTAAAAGGGGTATGTAAAAGCTCGAGTCATAATGACAACATTATTTTTCCGCTATACAGTGGAGATGTTGCATTGTGTCTTGGTTCTGATCCGTGCTAGTTATGAATTATTTTTATGCTTTCTTCAAAAAATTCTTGATTTGCTAATTGATTGACTGATTTGTAGTACGATTGATTTATTGTATTACGCATTTTTTTAAAAGGATCAATATATACCTTTTATATGTAACACGTAGTTCTCTAGCTCTCGAAGTTTTGATTTCATTCTTTCTAGCTCCTGCACTGTTACCATCTTGAATGCTTCCATCTCCAGTTTGAGACTGTCAAGTTCACTCTGAACCTTAAACAAAAATACTTGAAGATTGAAAAGATGATCTTACTGGGTTCCCCTACTTGTAAACATTTAAGATAAAATAAGGTTTAATGACTGGGAAAATAAGAGCAATCGTGATGAAAACACACCAACTGTTCATATAGGCTTTTATAGAGACTTAAACGAGTACTGTATGAGTGCATCCTTGGTCCAATGGTATTTTACTTCTTTCCAATTGAATTGAGTAATAAATGAAGTCCTTTGAATGAAGGATGGTATAAGTGGTTATTTTGCCTATCCATTTAATTTGCCTATTGCCTAATTTTTGCCAATTTCGGACAATTAAATGTCAAAAAGATTATCTTCATAATATTATCCAATAGACCATAGAAAGTTTCTTGTCATTAGGAAAATTAGAATTAGGAAAATGATAAAGTTTTCGGCAAATTAACAACTTGAATTAAATACCACTTACATGTAATTATACAGTAGTATTTGGTAAGGGTAATAGGAGTACCCATCGGAGTATACAAGATCCTTGGGGGAGAATTTATCTGTATACGACACAGTCACGTGACAGAGTGTGACAGAGTTGGGATTGTTTGTATTCATTACAGAATGTTCTCCCAAGGACTGTCAGAATAAAATGTTCAAAAGTTAGAGTATAGTCAGTCCAACTAGAGACTGATCTACGACCTGTCACCATTCAGGCAAATGCTCTACCACTGAGCTACAGGACCAGCAAAACAGCATTGGATATAAAATAGCATTGCAACCATGTCTCGCATGCCAAATTAGTTGACTGGACCCTTTTATTAGTGCGTTTTTCCAGATTGTCAATCGTAATGTATGTTACACTCATACACATATCACACTCACCTTGTTGCTTGCTTCAACTTCTGCGTTATTGCCACCCTGATTTGGCCATTGGTAACCAGGACGACCTGGCGTCCCTGGATTTCCTGGCTGGCCTGGTCGACCAGGAGTGCCTGGATGTCCATATTTTCCAGGATTACCTATTTCACCAGGATCTCCGGGATCTCCCGGATCTCCCTTCTTTCCATGAAAACCTCTTGGCCCCCTTGGACCTCTTGGTCCTTGTTTACCTGTCAGACCCCGTGGACCCCCTGGACCTGGTGGGCCTCTTAAGCCAAACTCCTCATCATCATCTGATTGACCAGGGGGTCCTGGTGGTCCAGGTGGCCCTTCCGGTCCCCTATGGCCATCTTGACCTTGAAGTCCTGTATCTCCACGCTCTCCTCGTTCCCCAGGTTCACCCGGAGGTCCAGGTGGTCCTGGAATGGTCAGGGATTCTATAAGATCAACAAGTTCTTCACGGGATACTGATCTTCCAGGTTCCCCTGGAGGCCCACGTCGTCCTGGGTCTCCTGCACGTCCAGGTACCCCAGGTACTCCTGGTGCACCTGGTTCTCCTGGGTAGCCATGGACACCATGTTGGCCATGACCCCCATGCCCCCCGTGCCCACCATGTTCTCCGTCGTATCCATCATCTCCGTCGCGTCCATCTGCACTTGAGTCTACACCAGTACCAAAACCAGGACCAGGTTCCCCTGGCGGACCAGGAGGACCAATATCACCGGGGAACCCCTGTGGACCACGTTTCCCTGGTGGACCAGGAAGTCCAGGTGGACCTGCAAATCCAGGTGCTCCTGGTAGACCTGACTGTCCTCTGATACCCGGTGGACCAGGTAATCCTATCTCCCCTTCTGGCCCCCTTTCTCCCTGCTCACCTCTTGGGCCGATGACTGGTATTGTTTCACGTTGAATATTGCCTGGAGGTCCCGGCAGCCCAGGTGGACCTCGGGGACCAGGGGGACACGAACAACTCTCTTCGGGGTTGTTGGGATCTCCTATTCTGAGAAACACCTGAACAAGCAAATCAATGAAATCAACATTAGATGCTGTTTTGTAAATGATTTGAACAAGTTTAATAATGTGGACTACAGCTAATTAAAAGTTCTGTAACATAATTTTAATTTGTCAACCTCCAGTTGTTTGGATATCATTCCCGATTTTGAAGCGTCTCTGAATATTATACGTGTTAACATCGAGCATTTCTTTGCATATGATACATGACATGGCGTGTATTACCTTATTTGCACCCTGAGCTGCATATCCAGGATTGTCAGGCCCATTCTCAGAGATACGACTGCCTAAGCCTGGTGTGGTGACTGCAACAATTGGTTCGATTATATTAAATAAAATGTCAGATAAAGTTGTCATACTCCTACACCAACGGGACAAATATAATTCAAGATATCTCATACACTATTATCATTATATTGGTGTCAGCGGTGGGATTTGTTAGAATATTTGAATATCATGTTTATTTTAATCTATGCTTCTGCTTTGGTAAAGTTAACGTTGATTTAATATGCCTAATTAAGTGTTTATTCTAAGGAAAAATACCATAGTGTTGAATGTTCACATTTCACCAGGATATCAAGACGCTAATTTTAGCAGACTCGATGGCAGAAAAATATTGATGCCAGCATTCGGTGGCACGCGGTGACGATGGATCTCAAGCTTGATAGAAGTTGACATAATATACCTGGTATGTCAGCATATCTTAGAGTTCGTTCTAACGGGGCTCTGTCACCAGACGTGGGATTGTATGGGCCGCCTTTACTCAGATTGTTATTGTATGGACCGCCATTACTAGGATCTCTATTGTATGGGCCACCTTTACTCAGATTATTATTGTAGGGACCGCCATTATTGAGATCTCTATTGTATGGACCACCTTTATTCAGATCGCTATTGTAAGGGCCGCCATTACTAAAATCTCTATTGTATGGACCGCCTTTATTCAGATTACTATTGTAGGGGCCGCCACTACTAAGATCTCTATTGTATGGACCACCTTTACTTAGATCACTATTGTATGGGTCGCCTCTATTTAGATTACTGTTATATGGACTGCCTTTTCTGATATAATGCGGCACATGGGGTTTCAAAGCAGGGCCTGGTCTAATGCTTTGATATACCGATCCTTTCTGGAGCAGATTAATTTTATTGTTAGTGACAACACCATCATGTGGCTTATATGCGCCATTGGGGCCAGTTCGTATGTATGTTTTTCCTGGTATTAGAGGAGGTCCAGGTCTTATCACAACAGGTTTTGGATAAGATGCAGAATCTGTCCTTAATTTTTCTTTACTTTTGAGCATTTCTACGGAGCTACCGCCAACAGCTTCAGCCCTCAACGGTGGGTCATCAACTCTCCCACCAGCATTAAATTGATTCCTGGGCTTTTCGCTCTCATCACCAGTGAATATATCACAGCTTCTTCCTGCCCATTCGGGACAACATTGCCAAGCGGAATCCCGCTGGATTTTGTAGGTAGTGCGGTATTTTGGTCTGTACCCAACTCTGAAATAAATCATCACTTAGTATTATTTGACATTTACCCGGTATATCAACTTTTGAAACACCAATTTCGGTTGTAGGGATGGGCATTTTATTCAATATAATACTAAAACATACATTTTTAAACATTATCATAAAAAGGGAAACATGGCACTGCTCATTTGAAATTCTCATGTTTATAACAAAGAGTAGCATACCTTTCTCTTGAAAGCCCATGTTTTAGGGTAGCACGGATGCCCAAAATGCCCGAAATTTTCAAAATAATTTGTTTGACCCCACCCCTATATAGATTTCTTAGACCTCTACTTAGAACCAATCTGAACCATTAACGATAAACCGCTTTATGTATTGTTTAATATTGATGGTTCTACTATCGTATTAACATAGTTAACATTCAGGTTATCTACGATTCTCTGGCTTAGTTGATCCTCGTAGATAGTTGCATGATGATACATTTAATATGATTCAGGGTGGGCCCTCATGTCTTCAATTGTAGAGTTTCAATGAGCATCCGTTTTGAGGCATGTTGAAAGAGTGTGGTTATCTGGGCCAGACGGATAGAGTACTTAAAGGGGTCATGTTGATAGCTTGTGATTTTCTAGAAATCGCTTTAAACTTGAAATGAAAAGGAGCGAGAGGCATTGATTCATGGACATAGCGTTAAAAATAAAGCGTACCTTAGCGGTTAGATAAATAAATATCCATGAAAGATAAAAAATATTATTGTATGAGTACCTGTGCAAGAGCATCCATTTTTGGTAAGAATTGTTAATATACAAACGGTGACTTTCATTGAGGGAAAAAGTGCAAAATATTTTTCCCGAGGGAATATCCTGTCCACTGACATGTTCCCGAGGCTGCAAGCCTTAAAATATACTAAGGTTGATATAATGAAAATCGAATTTCTCATATAATGTAGGATGTACCAAAGTTAATCATTTATTTTTGTTTCAATATTTGTGGTTTTCACTTGCTATTCTACATATGTATTTGAAAGAACAATCTCTGAATCACGACAACAAAGTTATCGTATGTGCAGGATATGTCTGGAACAACTCACCAGATTCCTCAAATGGCCCGAATGATTTAGATTATGGGCAGGAGCTATCAAAAAACATTTTACACTTGACCCTGTGATAGGAGGGTCAATGATGGGGCTCAAAGAAGTCAAAGCTGGTTGGCACCAAATTCAAGATAATGCAGTAACAAACATGCCATGCTTTGTAACTTATTAGACTAAGGTTATAACCAGCACTATTTGTTATTACTGTGAAATCTGTAGTGGGAAAAGAAGCCAGACTTCGATCCGAGGTAAAGCACAAAACCTATCATCAATAGCATCTAATGTAGATTCGTCTAGGTATTCCAAATGACTATTGCAGAAATATGAGTCAAGATGCACTGAGGTATTAATTAAAAACATGCTTAAAAGTCAGTTTGACAATTCTGCACGGGAGGCTACGTGGGAAAGCTGCAGGCTAAGTTTGAACTGAACAGCTAGGCGAAAGCTCTTACACATAAAAGGCAGAAATGAAATACAGGGTGTTCCAAAAAATGTACCACGACAAAACTGTGAGTGATCAAGGAATATTCTTGAAAATTGGTCATTTGACACGCAATTTTATTATCATAAATATCTGAAAAATTCAATAGGAAACTCCATTCAGTTTGAGAGAATAACCCGTTTCAGTACAATCACCCATTTTTCATGTTTGTCCCCCCCCCGGGTAACATTATTTAATCTTAGAAAAGCTTGTTCTCGTACCATCACCCATTTCCATGTTTGGATTTGCAATCAGCCTTGCATCGATTAGGATGGAGGTCATCATATAGAGCATGTCATCTAAAATGTCCACTTTCTCAATAAGTAATTTTCAAATAAATGTCTAAAAAAGTGAATATCTTAATTTCTTACTTATTATTCAGAAACTACTGGAACGGTGGCGTCTAGAACATGTTGCAGTATTTAAATTAATCATAAAACCATGCATCAAGTATAAAATATTGGTTTAAGATATTAGGTCACACTTGCATCTCTGTTCTTGTATACTTTACTTAGAATGTTTTTACAATCTTGTCAATATCTTTAAATTTATCATATTCCCATAATAAAAATACATCATCATCTGAAACGAAATAAAGTTGTTTTTCTTTCTGCGCTTGCAGAGATGAAATATGAAATTATTTTTCATTATATTTTTGGACGGCTGTCAAGAAACATTACAAAACGTTTACAAACCACCAAATAAAAGTATACCTACTTGTTTTTTGAACAATAATAATGTACGCGTTTCCGCTCAATAATTTAGGTGAAGAAGATTCAACTTGTCATACAGTAGCTAAGAGTGTATTTTTTAATTGAGAAAGGTATTTTTGGGGCTGTAATGACGTCAGTGCTGAACTTGATGTATCATTTGTTTAATATTCCAAAACAAATCTCCGAGTGCAATATTCCTCTAGGTGAAAGTTCATGCTAAAAAGATTAATTTAAGTTGATAGTTAATAACAGTTTAATCTAAAGTAAATTTGAAATACACAGCGTTCCATGCTACACCAAAAACATTGTTATTTTAAGTAACGTACCAACATTGTATTTATAATTTGAAACCCAAAAAGCAATAGATATATTTATAACAGTTTCTTTTAAAGTGAAGTTGGGATACATAGCGTTCTATGCAACACCAAAAGCAATCTAAAGTAACACACCAACATTGTATACTATAATTAAAAACACAAAAAGTAATAAATATATTTTATAACAGTTAAAGTTTATAGCTTGAGTTTACAACAGTTTAATTTAAAGTGAAGTTGGGATATTTAGCGTTCCACGCAATATCAAAAACATTGTAAATACCAATATCACAGGTTTTCGAATCATTCTTATGACGGTAGACGCATCACTAAAATAAGGTTAATTGGTAAACACAAATGCATATCGAAAAACGCATATCCATGCCAAAAACTCTACCAAAGCAATTTAAATATCATAATATAGAAATGTAGAATTCTACTTTACAAGCAAAGAAAACCTGGAGTGATATGGCTAATATTCAAAGCGAGGAAAGTTTGGGATTCTTATTTAGTAATTTGCTTGATTCGTGTTTTGCACGAATTGTACGATGTTATTAAGCAAAGCTAGCGTAACTTATTTTTATTACCGTCACTTTTCCACTTTCCTTTATAAGGTAGAAGCGAGTGGATAACAAAAAAGCACTAAAACTCACTTTGATCCAAAGCAACTGAAATCATATGGCCAAAACATGCACCTTTGTGACCCCCTGTACGTGTAGGACTCTCTACCAAACGGTACTTTGCAGCTGACCCTTTTCGTCACAGTATATGAACACCATTTCCTGAAACAGATCCCGCATAAAAGTATTTATCCCATACTTGGACGTGTTACAGGTACATAAAGCCGGTTTGTAAAAACTTATATTTTCATCAGCGGGCAGATATAGCTTTACGTCCCGCTCCGAGCGGGCAGATATAGTATATCTGCCCGCTACGTCATAATCGCCGCTCGTATATTTGTTCATAATTTGTAACGTTCGCGTAATGACTGTAAACGACAATGGAGAAAACACAGACAATCGGGATCTGTTTGATGGTTTAAAAAAGGGAAGGAGCATCCACTTAAAACATTCGAGAAAATAGATGTGGGAATATTTGAGAGAACAGAAAAATCCGCCCACGGCCAAGAAAACAAAACTGGACATGAATATTCTAAAATATTTCCACGATTGAACAATGTGAACCAGATGACCAAGATTGGTATGGGATAAACATATTATCCTATAGTCGGTTCAGGATATTGGGATTATCCCTTGGTCAATATAATATATTTTCCCTCGGGACCTGCGGCCCTCGGGCAAATATATTATATTGGCCTCGGGGTAATCCCAATATCCTGAACCTCATATAGGATAATCTCTATAAATCCTTTTTATAGCTGTTCATGCTGATTACATTATGTTGTGGTCCCGTTGTTGGCAATTGGGTTACACTTAGTAGTGATCCCTTGTCTATAAAAGACGTCTGGAAACCATCACAACAATCTACTATAAGATATCGAGGCGGTTAATAAATTCTAAGGGCGTCATTTTATTTTATTAACCTGTGGGTCATTAATAGGAACAGTTCGCTGGCGGATAGGGGCATGCCACCCCCCTTGGGTGGGCCCAGAAATTTTTTAGGGCCTCAATTAATGGAATTTTTTATCTGAAATGTGCCCTCCCCCTTGTTAGCTTCTGGATCCGCCAGTGCAGTTAACCAATTGTTGTAACCATGGGCATTACACAATGAAGTTATAGTTAGTGAACTTATGAATTCTTTTTGAAAGGATGATCGGGGTTCTTAGATTCGATTTTCGTTCCAGGAAGCCCGAGAATAGAGTTTTGTTAATATACCCTCTAAATAAGAAAGTAAAAATATTTTGCTCCGTATCATATATCGATGGACGCCCATCCGCGTAATTAATTTCATATACTTGAGAGAGGATCAAATTTTAATTAAAGAAAGCAAGGTGAAATTGAATTAGATGTATGGGGAGGGGGTCAACCTGAATATAATTAATTACGTTTGGAACAATATCGAAATATTGATCTGGTCACTTGGAGAGAAATAGTAAAATTATTATGAACAATGAGAAGAGGTTCACTTATATACCTTTAAAGACAACAGGTTCAACTATGACTCATTATATATTTACCTCCAAACAACAATATTTTGTTGATAATATCACCAATGTAGCCAGCAATAATCATTGCGTGTATGGACTTGAAAAAGCCATTATCAATATTTCGAATTTCTATTAATAACTAGTATCGGTAAGTCGAAATTCAGAGAGGGAATTTTAAAAAATTGTCAACGTCTTACCCCTGTAAATGCGAAGATGTGTCTCCTGAAATAGATTGGATTTGAGTCATCCAGAATATATAGAATAATCCCGCCAGCCATTGTACCCTCGGCACCTTCCGACAGCTCCCTAGAATTTCCCACATGTCTAGTTAAAGTCTCTAATCTTTTACGTCCATCATTTTATTATTGCAGACAGTCTTTACAATTCGATCATGAGGTATCCAACAGCTTTTACGTATCCTAAAACAAGAATTGTGATGTTACGTAAACACTTATCCTCGAGAATTATCAGGTTGTTAAAATTACGAAGAAACATATAAATCATGCTAAATGTAAATAGTCCTTTCAAGAGCCTTGATACGTGTAAAGGAATGGGGAAGCGCTAGAAGGTAATCTCTCAGACAAAGTGTTTTTGGGATAAAGTCAGTGCGTTATTAGCCGTAAAACGATACTTAACATACAGCTGATTTTCTTGCTCTTTGCTACACTACTTCACGATTACCTTTTTATTTGTAGAAAACACATGATCATCAGGAACACTTCCACATTAGTCAGCTACAATCTCAGACAATATAAAAAACTCAAACGCATGCGCACGTGTTTATCATCATAATCATTTACAATTACATTGCAAAGCTGTGGTCATAAAAAGACCGAGATCTATTATGACTCGATTTGTTTAGAAGACATTTTAAGACGGGTGCTGCTCAGTTGTTCGTAATATTTATTTATATTTGCAGTTTCAAATGAAAAATTTGCTGAGTCTGTGATATCTATTTGTATAATCACAAGTTTAAAAGAAGAATTGAATGAGTCGTTTGTGATGTATGTCTATATATTTACAAGAAGCTGTTATGCTGAGTCGATGTGATATCATGTTTTGTATTTTCAAGTTCAAAAAAACATTGCTTGAGTCATTCGTGGTATCCTTTTGTATAATTTACGAGTTTAGAAACCTAGCATACGTCACTCATCAGTTGTTTGTGATAACTTATTTGTATATGCAATAAATGATGCATGAGAATATTTTTAGCAGAACCAACTACAAGACAAAACATTTATACTTGTTTATGATACGATGATATCACTTTGTTAACAAATTCAATTATAATGTTTATGCTATTTTCAACGATGTATACTTGTGGCAGGTTTGTTTTAGGTTACGATATTTTAAGTTTTTTGCATTAAATAAACATTCTATGGATGGCAATTGCCTTACCACTTATACAAACATTTAGATAACTTTTTACCCAGTAAAAATAACGAAGTCTATATTGTATTCATAGGTCATTTATGTAGTAAGGCATGCTGGCAGGAATTTAAAACGGGTTCTGTAAGATTATCGTATGTCCACCCACTTCTTCTGTATAAATTACAAATGCTATTTTTAAAAAGGAGAATACATGAGGGAAAAGTTTCAATTTATTATCACATTTTGAGATAAACAACGTAAATGGATGTTAAGGTTAGGATAACCCTCGCTCTAAGAGTCATTTGTCAGTTAGTTAGACGCTTTTAAGTTGGCGAAATGATATGCAACACGATAAACACGCGGACAATAAACACTGCGAGTAGTATCAGGCGGGCGTGACGGTGTGTGCATCCTTGGTCCAAAGGTATTTCAATTATTTCCAAAGTGCATCTTAATTCCCCTCTTTGCCATCTGAAGGTTATCATATTCAAATTATATTCATCATCATCGTGCTTGTAATCAAGAAAACTATTATCTTTCACACAGTTCACATTCGCCATCATCTGTGTTCGAGTCTTAGTGTAATGCAATGAGTGTAGGTTTAGTGTAACAGTAAGAACGTGTTAATGGAAATCAAAATACACAATAAGCAACATCGAATAAAAGTATTTCCCGACGTCATTGGACATTAGGGAGTTTAAGCATGCAATGTTTTTTGCAACCTAAACGTGAACTGAAACTATTTAAGCGATGCATTTGTATGGGCGATTGGTCATACTTTGGTTGGGGTTTCGATTTTATATGCAAGCTTAAACTCCCTAATGTAACTGTAGCCTCTTTCTTCAGTTTTGAGTAATTTTATCAGTTACGATAAAATACGATAAAATATTTATCAGCGGGGCGGTAAAAATGTTTCTTTGGAAGGACTGCTTTCTGAATGGACAGAACGAAAATGTCAAAACATAAGTTTAAACATCCATCTACACACATTGGCATTTTCATCAACAGCGTTTCTCATCTGATTTGCGATGTTTATTGATGGGGTGTGAGTCAGAACTTTATTTATATTTGATTTGTGATGTTTACCGATGGTGGTGTGTAGAAATGTTACTACTTTTAACATATTTAGTCAACATTTGGTTCATCGTTCATTCATGATATATGATAATTTCCTCTTTTAATGTCTCTCGTAATTTTTGTGAAAAGTTTAACCCGTTCGCATTTTTGAGCCCAATAGGTTAATCTAATAAACGCGGAGATATGATTAACTAATTATTTATTTACAAATACCTCAAAACCTTCAAAATCTTGCAATTTTGTTTACAATATGGCATTATTAATCTAAAAATTGTACTTCAGTTACATCAGTTTCAGCAAAAAGGGTCAAGATTTATTAGAAAGGTCTATTGCTTCGCCACCAGCTGGTGACCCAACATCTGTCAGTGCTAACCAAAATTTCCAAAAGGCTTTAGTCATGCTTTAATGTCCTGTTCAAGAATCCGCATTCTAATGATTAAAAACGGATTCTACCAATACTCTCTTACATGAATCTACTAGGGATGCAATTGACTTTAATTCTGGATAGCCAATACTCTCCCACATGACGCTACTAGGGATGCAATTGACTTTAATCCTGGATATCCAATACTCTCCCACATGAATCTACTAGGGATGCTATTGACTTTAATCCTGGATATCCAATACTCTCCCACATGAATCTACTGGAGATGCAATTGAATTGAATTCTGGATATCCAATACTCTCCCACATGAATCTACTGGAGATGCAATCGGATTTAATTCTGGATATCTACATTGCAATTGTGTGAATGTAGATATGCAGGATTATAAACTGAGTCTCAACAAGTACAGGGTGGTCCAAAAAAATGGGACACTCGTATTTCAAAAATAAATATTGATATTGAAAACATGTCATATTATATACCAGTGGATAGGGAATTTACTTATCTTGATATAAATTATGTCCTTTTAGTTTCAAAACGGGTTTTTCAAAGCTTGCAAAAACCACGTTTTATTGTCATCTTTATTTACACAAACGGATATGTCCACTATTTTGATCGATTAAAGCTCTCAATTTTGGCCTTAACTGGCCAAAAGCATCATTGATATGCTGTTGAGACAATGAATTCCACTTCTCAACAAGTTTATCCTTAATAAGGGACTGAGTAGATGTAAGGGGTTCATGGTAAACTAATTCTGTTAGTTTTCCCAATACGTGGTAGTCGCAGACGTTGACATCGGGTGATCCAATTATGTTGTTTTTAAACCACCCTGATATGAACTCATTCTCGAATCATTACATTTGATGACACAAGATGGGGCTCTAAGCCATAGATCTCACAAGAGTGTCAAAAAAGAAAATGTGCCTAGATTCATCCAGCCTAATCACCTCCTCCCTCATATCACCCGATCACCCAACGACTACCACGTACGGGGAGAACTAACAGAATTGGTGTATCCTTTACATCTATTCAGTCTCTTAAGGACAGATTATTGAGAAGTGAAATTCATTGTCTCAACATCATACCAATGATGCTATTGGCCAGTTGAGGCCAAAATTGAGGGCTACAATTGATCAAAATGGTGGACATATTGAACGCCTGTTTATGTAAATAAAGTTGACAATAAAACTTGATTTTTGCAAGTTTTGGAAAACCCGTTTTGAAACGAGAATGACGTCATCTATATTCTATATTATGGACGCTGGCTGACAGACATAATAATAAATTTGAACTTTTGATATACCGAATCAAAGATAAGTAAATTCCCTATCCGTTGGTATTTAATATGACATGTTTTCATCAAGAAAACCAATATCTATTTTGGAAATACAAGTGTCCCATTTTTGGACCACCCTGTTGACCTATTTTCAATAGAGGTTCTTAAACAGGACATTGGGCTTGCTTTGTTTGATCTTTTTATTGGCTCTATGATGGGAAAAGGTAATTGTTGAGCAACAGCAATACGATCGACTGCAATTTCATTTGAATAAGTGTTTTGGATAAACGCCCATGGGCTTTAATAATGAGGAAAAAAATCTTAAAGTACTCCTCTTTAAAACAAACGCCATGTACGTGTAATCATTCTTTCTGATCTAAAAGTCGCAGTCGGCAGTTGGGATCTTGGTTTGCAGATGATCAAGATTTACAAAATCCACAGTCCACCTCTCTTGGAAATTGGTTAACAATACTGTATGTTCTGAAACCTTTTCCCAATAAAAACAATATGCATGACTGAAGAAAATAACTAAATCAGTGAAGGTGTACATGTATTGAAAAAATCACTTTGCAAACTGGAGGTATTACGGAAGGCATAAAAGAGATAAGGGGTACAAAGACTTGATGTAAGACTATATCTGATTATAAAAACAAAGTTTAGTAAAACTGCATTTGTCTTGGGAATCATTTCCTGTACTTACTCGAGAAGTACACAGAGATCAAAGTCTTTTTATGTTACAATTTCAAACACTAGTTGTGTTTGAAAAATTAAAACAACACTTCCAGTCATTCATTTGTACAGTAAACCCCTGAACATGAAGTGGATGGGAGTAGAGTAGATGGAATTGTTTAAGTGCGACTGATGACAGCTACACATTGGCACTGATATACGTCAAGTACGGTGTGGATGAAATGAATTTAAATGGTTGTTAGACTGTTATATTTATCTCTCACAGGAGATGGGGAATTAGGGGGTATCTATCGAAGGTCATGAACAAAGTGACGTTTAATCTTAGAAATACGCACTATGTACATCATCATGGATGTAATTGCCATTTTTGCAAATAGAAATCAGAATTTGCTCTACTATTATAATCAATTCTATGATACATTTCAAAATAATACCTTATTTGTTAAAATTACAATTATAATTGATTCAGCATCAATTGTTTTATATAGATGTAAAACATAATGATATCAATCACACGTGCTTAT